AATTTCCCCGCCAGAGAAATTGATTTAAAAAACCAGTGGAGACTGAAATTAATGAGTTCCGCGTTTCGGTATTGCACATTCTTTTTTAAGTGTAAATCAATATCACTTTTCATGAGCACTAAAAAGCACATATATTTCACAGAAAAATTAACTTTTTTATCCCGGAAAATGCTCGTAAATCTAGAGCACGAACAGGGGAAAATGTTGTGCTCTGGCGAGGAAAACGATATGTGAAGAGGATGTTTAAATATCAATTCCGAAGCAATTTCCATGATAAAAGCCTCGAAATTTTTTATCGCAAAACCTCTCCTTTTTGGAATGTTGATTGGAAGAGGATTTTCAACTAGGAGGACAAATGTTTTTTTTTTATACCTCAAAACTGGAAAAATAGTGAGAAGTGGCAATAAAGCACCATCAATTGACAGAGCAGAGATTGCAAATCCAGCAGAAAATTCCCTCAATAATCCTACATGGATATTCTGGGTCGTCATTTTCCAACACACAAACTTGCTGTCACGCAGTGACAATGGATGAATGAGGAGAGAAAAAAACCCACCACCTCTTCCAATATTTTGTCATTATCATCAATAGCGGTAGCAGCTGAATTAGATGATTTGTCCCATCAATCATACCCACAACTTTTATTTATCCATATGTCGTGCTGGTGGAAAAAGCCCAAACTGACGTGCTGCAGAGAGGCCAGAAAAGTTGAGAAACCCCAGAGAAGACGAGAATTCATGGAAATCACATCACGAAAAGTTCTATTTGCAATTTTCAACGATGTGGCAATAAAAGAGAGCGAAACCTCATGACCGAGAAAGATTTTTCACATGATTCTCGCACGCCCGCTTCTTTCACACAAGTCCTCTTGGCCAGAGAATTCACACACATGCACATAATCTGAGGGGATTTTCACTGTGCGACTAGAGACGATTTCGGGAAATGAGACAGAATGCCATTGTGGCTTCTTTTCGCCGCTTGCCATTATTATAAATAGACCTCCAAAGGCAAAATGGATGCTCACGGAAGAACAACACGGAAAAAGAGATGAAAATTAACCCAACATGACGAGTCTAAAGAATTTTATGGGATCACCGAGCAATGATGATTATTTACATCCACTAACATTGCCAAGTACCCGACCATTTTCCCACTCTCTCTCACCCCACGTGTCGCGACAATATTGTGCTGAAAATGATGATAACAGACGGGAAAATTCATCATCCGAAGCATTGAGTGTGTCGCAGTCTCATGCGAAACTCCAGGTAACCAAAAACGGGGTGGTTTTGCCGCAACAAAAGTCACACCACGGCTCTGGGGTGAGTTCGGGAGACTTAGCGAAAAATCACCTCACGCGCTAATGGGGTTTTACCGCCCAGCGAAGGATGGATGGGAATAGCAAACCATTGTCAAAAGGGAGGAAAATTGACGCACACTGAAATTCACTCGGCGCATCCATCCATCCCTCAATGATCCACCCTTCCGCCCTCTGCGCTTCGCTGGAGCATTCACAAAAAAGCGCCCCACGGTCGGTGGATTTTCCATCTATCGAAGCCCGCGACTGAATTCCAACCCCATTCCATCAGCCAGTCGCCCAAACACCAGAATAATAGCCAAAGAGAAACTTCGAGTCAGGAAAAGCTGGTGTTTTCTATTTCCTCTCATTCCACTATGCTCTGAGCTTTCCCCATTTTCTCTCCCACACACAAATACATATACAAATAGCATGTACAACTAAGGGGCTAATCGGGAAAAGCATTTTGTCAAAAGTGGTATGAATCCTAAAACGCAACTTTTGACAAATACAGTCGGAAAATATGAAAATTATGTGAATACAATTGAGAAAGGACGACACGTTCAGACGCCCTTGCTGAACTGAAAGCCAAACAGTATTCTTTATATACTTTCTATGTCGATTTTTATATTGATTTGAGAAGAATTTGCTAAAAAAGAAATGCTTTTCACGTCAACATCGCTGGAAATCGATATTGTAGATATTTTTATGTTGAATTCGATACTAAATATTTGACTTGAAAAATATTTTCAACTCTTTAATCCCCATCCAAAAATCTCTTCACAAATAATATGACAAACCCTTTGAGGCATTCTGTGAAGCGAGCAAATTCATTGTGATGAACTCAGATTGTGTTTATTTATGTTTGCGATTGAGCAGAAATTGAACCAATATCGACAAGTATTTTCTATCAATTAGAGACTTACCATTTGCATGAAATACAGTAATTTTCCCCATTCCAACATGAAAATCCCTGAAAATTCTCCCCCCAAAAAAGTGTAATTACTCCAAATCGGATGAACAAAGCAATTTTGGCACAAGAGCCTTCATTGTTTGGCAGAATCGGGAATTTATCTGCGAAATCTGGGACAAAAATATTATAATGAAAATGTATTGAATTATTGAATTTTCATGTTAATCGCAAATTGGAAATTGGCTGCGGAAATTGAGGGTGCCTAATGAGCGAATCCCGATAAAACTGATGCCATTGTAGTAAAAAAAACGTAATAAAACAACACTTCGATGCCACTTTTTTTTCGTGGCGATCTCATATATTGTCGCGAGACAGCAATTGATGGCAGACGGTGGACCATTGATTGAATTTAATTGACCCATCGTCGGTGATGTGAATGTCATTGTGGCGCTTTTTTGTGTCGCCCACGGCGATATGAATGCACACTCGGCACTTTTCTCTCGCCAGGAAAGATTGGGAGAAATTGCTGAGACAATTCGTCGAGAAGCACAAGCGGAAAAGTCGCACATTTAGCAATGCGGGGAGAGACGAAAGAAGGGGTTCGGCCCTCAAAGCTAAGTCTTTCCGGCATAAAAAAAATGTATATTTTGTGTGTGTGTGCGCTCAATTCAGCGGCACACGCCTCCGTAATTCCATGATATATGAATGCAGTGATGCCTGAAATTATAACAGATGAGTGTACTGAGGAATTAGTGAACTGTCCCATTCCACTTTCTCCCCCAAACCGCCGTGCGTGCGAGAGGCGAAAGGCTGCCAGGAAGTTGGTACAAGTGTGAGAAATCCCATAAATCCCAACTCTGACATTTTCCGTGCCTTTTCCTCTCCGCGCGCTTTCCCGCAAATGCTGATGGACTTTTTCCCATGTGTGGTATTTTAAAAATTAAAACCACACAGGACTCTTTCTGGACACATCGCACACTGTGGATTTTTCCACACTGTCCGTCCATCTGTACCAGATAAAGCCAGCGATGCTGAAGGAAGCTTAGGCGTAATCCCGAGATTTCATCCACATTTGAATTGATTGATCACAAAACTCGGATTTCCCGTGATTGATCATCTCTTCAATATCCCAAAAGGTTAAATGAAGGCTATATTTTTCCCCCAAATTCAACACATGTCAGTGCCATTGAACCGCTTTTCCAGAAGACTTCGAAATTACCTCCGCAGCATCTCAAGATAATTTCTGGCAAAAATGAATTTTTCACGTTCAATTTATGACATTCCCATGAGCTTAAGAAAGTAATGCTCATCCGCCCTCGAGGGAAATATTCAATTCCACCCGTAATTTCCCCCCAATTTCATTATAGGCTGAAGAAACAACGCGCGCGAGATCTTCTCTAGTTGCTTCATGAAATCTTTAAAAGGGCATTAAACAGGGCATCTACAGGGCGAATGATGAGAGTTAGTCGGTAATTTATTGAGAAAAGACCTCCCATGAATTCATTAATAAATTCTTCTACTCATTGATAAAAAGACGATAAAAATATACACGCTCTTCAGCGATATACAACAATTCATCCGTTGAAGCGGATATATTGAAATTTTCAACTCTTCTTGTTGAAGCACTTGAAAGAAAATAAGCAATGGAAGAAGAACATTTAAATTTCTGAGAAACAGATATAAAAAATAAGTGTATTAAAGGAATGCCATGAACAGAAAAGTACTCTTCAGGTGTTCTTTGAAAGCCACAAAAGTTTGCTTTCCATTTGCAAAATAATTTCAAGCATTCAAGAGGTTTAATGAGTGTCCGCGAACACTTATCCGGAAATAACAACTCACCAATTTCCCGCATGTTTATCGATTTTATTTAATTATTTGCGTGAATTTGTAAATGTAAAATTAAACGCATTGTCCGTCATTTTCTCTAAGTTTTCTCTCCGGGAAAAACTGATTCGTTTACATTGAGTAAATTCTCTTTGACATTATTTCCCAGAAAATGTATCCAAAATTAGAGTTATAAGCAATTCGATTTGCCAAGGAATCATCAAAAATACTGAGAACAATTCTGATTGAATCGATTGAGTGATTTCTTAAACATTTCAGCGATAATTTGCACTCAAATGAATTATGAATATGAAAAGTGAGGATTAAAATAAAGCTGCATTGCATCTGAAATGCTGGATTAGTTTGTGGTGGAAAAGATGTGGAGACAATAAACAACCCGCAAAGAGCATTAAATTCTCCGGAAAACCTCGAATGAAAACTCATGAAAACTTTGAGGTGATGCTGTTCCAGACAAACTTATGCTCATCCTCAACATCATTTTCCACACAGTTTTCTCCTCTCGTGTAAGCTTGCAATTCAGCATTTTTTTCCGGGGGAAATATATTGGTCTGCTGCCATGCACTTTCACGCTCTTCTGCACAGGAGTTTTCAATTAATTTTTCAGCAGGCAAGCATCTTCGGGGGCAAATTGGGGAGTCTCCAGAGGGCCTTGGCAGGACTCTGAGGCAATCACTCAGGCGAATTAGTGGATAATTGAGTGAGTCAATCAATCCGTGAGGTCAATGCATGAGAAGTGTGGGCGCAATGCGTCCGCGGACAGAGAGCTGTGGCGCCCCTGAGAATTCCACGGGTTTCACGCCCCAGTCAATGCGAGCGATTGTCTCGGGCGCGCTCCTCTTCCCGAAATCCACGACAGAAATATTGTGTGTGCATTAATTTTATTTATAAGACGTGGGTGACGCGAAAGTCTGGCGAGGGTGACGATGAGAAAAATTCCCAGAAGCTCACCTTCTCTCCGGCAGTGTTGCCACAACGCTCCTCCCAATTTTCCGCAAATGCGAAAATCGCCGACTCCGTGAATTCCGTCCTTTTCCTCCGCTTGTGTTCAGTGAGCCTCCAAAAAAGCCCCACACTTCTCGGCAGCACAGATGTTTCTCGAACGGACAATACGCGAAAAATAAGCACTGTCACACATTGGCAAACGGCAACATCCGTCCCGGGTGATTTTCATATCACTCCTCAACAACTAATTAGCACATTTTTCCGCGATTTTCACCACAATTCGAGAGATTTTCAGGAGCACAAAATAACGCGGATCCTCTTCGGCCACCATCTTTATTCTGTCACATTCTGCATGACACATGCACGCGACTCGCGCGCCACCTTCGTGGTAACACCCGCGAGCCGTTTAGAAAATCGAGGTTCAAAAAGCCGCCCACAAGAGCCGTGAATTTCCTGGAAATATTTCCTTTATTTCATTCATGAAACTCCCTTCAATGGAGCTCCCCACCCACTTCACATCATGTACTTGTTGTTCTTCTCCGACAGGAATTTGGCCGACTTCTTCGCGTCCAGGAAGAGAGCGCTGATCTCCAGAACGTCTTCTTTGTTGATCACGCTCCGCCCGTTGACCTTGCACGTCTGGAAGGCAGGCGTGAGCAGCTGAACAGCATAGCGGAGTGTCGTGGTCTTCCCGATCTCACTGAGAGCCCCCACAGCGGCCTCCTCAATCTGCAGACCCTCCGTCTGGGCGCGCAGCTTAATTATCTGCTCAATCTCTGACGTGCTGTATGTGAGCGTACGGATGATCAGGAGTCTGTCCAGCAGATCCAGCGGAATCCCGTGCGGAGAGACGATGTCATCCGTGCCGCGAATCACGCAATGTCCGCGATTTGTGGCGAAGATGACAATTGGCGCGATGGCGGACTCCAAGGATTTGTGGAGGTACGTGAAAGTCTCCAGATCTAGCATGTGCACCTCATCGATAAACAGTACTCCCGGCACCAGCTCAGCGATGCCCTGATCAATATACCTGTTCACGACCTTGTTGATCTCCATGCGCAGTTTGTCTGTGATTTCCGTCTTCTTGGGCTTCATCAGCTGTCCCATCATCGAGAGGACGTCCTGGCCACCCTGAGGCCTGGCATTCGCCACATCCAGATCATGCAGAGTCACGTCCTGCACCACTTCCTTCTTCTTGTGCACATCACCCTTCGGCAGCGGCACATATTCCTCCGTCTCCAGGTCGAATTCTGTGGCGAAAGTGTCACTGCGGCCCTGTCTCTTCACGGCTCCGCTGTTGGCCTCGATGTAGATCACATCTCCCACCTCCACCTTCTCCTTCTGCAGGGATTCGTAGATGCTGGGATCCAGCTTCAGCTGCTTCGTGCCCTTGGCCGTCTTCAGGCCGATCACCACGTTGCTGATGGTCTTGCCATAGCCGCCCATCGGGTTTTCCGTCTCCACGGGCGTCAGCTCAGTCACTTCGCCCTCGTACACTTCCTTCGTCTCTCGGATTCGCAGCCCTATCGAGCGCCGGAAGTTCTCCATCAGCACCTCCGTCTTCTTGATCTCCGCTGAGAACACCTCAGAGCCCACCATGGGGCAGAAGGGCACCTTGTTGCCCAACTCCTGTGCTATCGCCAGTGCTATAGCTGTCTTCCCAGTGCCCGGCGGTCCGGCAAGAAGAAGCGCTCTGCCAGCCATCTTCTTGCTCCTAATCAGATCAATGACTATTCCCGCCGCCTGCGAAAACCCAGAAATGTAAACAGATTCCACGAATAGCTTAACAACAACTTCCTCACCTCCCGAGCATTCTTCTGGCCCACAAGGCCAGCCGCGTTCTGCAGAGCCACTCCGTTTTCATCCAATCCTAACCCCTTAATGTGGCTATGAGCGGCGATTCTCTGCGTTTTCACCGTGCTCTTCACCTCCTCGATCTTCATCTTGCCAGCACTCTGTCTCTCACCACTCCCGCAGACAATTTCAGCACGCTGCTATCGATTAAACAGCGGAAATTAGAGAAAATTCGGGAACAACGCCGGCTTCGCACACAAAACACTGCTTCTTCTTCTTCTTCTGCTTCTCCTGCGCGACGCGCGTATAACAGTTGCCCTTGCGCACTTTTCCAGCAGACTGCGCTGCAGTGCAACAACACCTAACAAAGATGGCGGCAGATTTTTTGGGCGATTGAGACCGCACGGTGTTTTTTTCCTTCGTAGTGAAAATATCAATAATTTGCGCTGTTCTGGGCTGAAAAGCATCTCAAGTGTTTGCATTCTTGTGTGCCCGTGGCGTGGACAAGCAATCAACATGGGTGCATACCTGTCGGAGCCGATAACGGAGAAGAATTCCTGTGACGAAGAGAACGAGTTGTTGGCGTGCGGTTCGAGTTCAATGCAGGGATGGCGAATAAATCAAGAGGTACCACGTCTTTTTCCCCTTTTGCACCCATTCCCATGTCCCTCGCGAGGCTGTGCGGGGCACAGAGCCCCTCTCGGGTGCGCCACTGGTGTATTTTGGCGTCTCGCGACGAACGCAATGGGGCGTCCCTTGGCGAAATGGGCGCTCAATTTCTTTTCGCAAACTCGCCACCAACACAGCCATGGCGCACACACACGCTCGCGCACCTTTGAGTGCGAATAACTGGATTTTCGCTGCGAAAAAGGTGAATTTTTGTTTGCGAAACGCCAAAGAAGCACCATCGCGGCGACCGGGAGGGGTTTTGCGTCGTTGTGCGCCACAAGAGTACCTCGAGTGACGCCCAGAAGGACTCTAACCTCACTTTTCATGCCATTCCTCATTGCAGGACGCCCACAATTGCCTGCTCAATTTCGACAAAGACACGTCCTTCTTCGCCGTGTACGATGGCCACGGAGGCCCGGAGATTGCCCTTTACTGCAGCCAGAAGTTGCCCGAGTTCCTCCTTACCTCGGAGGCCTACAAGTCGGGCGAAATGGAGAAGGCGCTGAAGGACGCCTTCCTCGGCTTCGACGAGACTCTCCTGAAGCCGGAGGTGATTGAGGAGCTGAAGCTGCTGGCGGGCGACAAGTACCCGGAGCACGGCGAGGAGACGGAGACGGACGAGGAGGAGGATTTGGCGGAGTTGTGTCAGGAGAGCAGGATGCCACTCACGGAGGTGCTGGAGAAGTACAAGGAGGCCAAGGTGGAGGCTGGCGGCGTGGCGAAACTCAAGGAGAAAGAGCACAAGCCTTTGTCGCCCTTCCTGAGAGCGCAGCGCAGCGACGGGGCCGCGTCGTCGAGTTCCTCTGGCGCTGGCAGCAGCTCTCAGGCCACAGAATCCACTGCATCCGGCTCCGGTGGCTCCGGATGGCGTCCGCCGCGCAAGCTCGAGTCAGAGATCGACTCCACAGTGAGCAGTTCGAGCACAAGTGAGAAGACAGCGGAGGCGCCGCGCGAGATTGTGTCCAATGAGGCGTCGGAGTGCGAGAGCGCGACGAATGGGGCGAAGGAGAGCTACAACAGTCCCGACTCCTCGTCGTCCTCGTCTACTGTGCGCAAGAGTGTCGAGGTGCAGGATACAGAGAAGCCGGGCAGCAGCACAGACCAGGTCGCGAGGCCTCCAGAGGTGAAGATTGCCAACGGCGCGGCCGATGATGACGGCGTGAGCGCGTCGAGCTCCAAAGGCGGCGGCCACCAGGAGCCCGAGATCTCGACGAACAGTGGCAAGAGTGAGGGCGTGTCCAGCTCGTCGTCCGCCGTGCAGGAGAATGGCGAGGTGAGTAGCAACAGCGGCGGATGCTCGAGCAGCAACGATCGTCTGCCCAAGAGATCGTCGGCGCCGTCGCACATCCCAGTGGATGCCAACGCGTCGTCGTCGGACTCGGAGGACGAGAAGGACGAGACGTACAATGAGAACACGTCCAGCACCGAAGACGTGGGCGATGAGGACAGCGACGTGGAGGAGGAGGAGTACAACTCGGACTCCTTCGAGGGCAGCGACGAGGAGGAGTGCGTGCATGATGAAGACGACGATGTGGACGATGCGTTCATGAGCAACATGATCGAGGAGCCGGGCAAGGACAGCGGCTGCACGGCCGTGGTGGCGTTGCTCGTCGGCACGGACTTGTACGTGGCGAACGCGGGTGACTCACGATGCGTGGTGTGCAGAAATGGTGAGGCAATTGAGATGAGCTACGATCACAAGCCAGAGGATGAGCTGGAGCACGACCGAATCACAAACGCCGGCGGCAAGGTCACAATTGATGGCCGCGTCAACGGAGGACTCAATCTTTCCCGCGCGATTGGCGATCATGCATACAAGATGGTGAGTTATCTTTCCACCTGCGCGCTGGAGAGCAGGTTTTTCTAATTGGTTTCCTACTTGCAGAACTTTGAACTCCCACCGGACAAGCAGATGATCACGGCGCTGCCGGACGTGAAGAGGATCACAATCATGCCAGAGGATGAGTTCATGGTGTTGGCCTGCGACGGGATCTGGAACTTCATGTCTAGCGAAGCGGTGGTGGAGTTTGTCAAGAAGAGACTAGACGAGGGACGGGAGAGAATATCTCAGATTTGCGAGGAGGTAAGAAAGATTGACCTCAAACACCCTTTATCGCCATTGATTCGCGGTATTTTCAATAGAGAAAGTGTCTGTATTATCAGATTTCTTATCAAGTTCACTCCAAGACGGTCAGAAACTATATTCTCAATATATTTAAATTATCTATTGAAATATTTATTTAATTGTAATGGCTTGACATTCTTGCTAATCGTTGTTCTTCTGTGGCTTGTAGCTCTTCGACAACTGTCTGGCCAGAAACACACTGGGCGACGGCACGGGATGCGACAACATGACGGCGATCATTGTGAAGTTCCCGCGCGGCGGCGTGCGCGAGACGGCGGCCAAGGCGAGCGTGGAGACGAGTGAGGTCGTGGCGTCCAGCAAGAAGAGATCCGCCTCGACGGATGCCAAGGAAGCCGAGGAGGGGGCGAAACGACTAAAGACTGATGATGAATTCCCTGCGGCTGTAGTGGTGGACACGAATGTGGACGACGTCAGCTCCACGTGAATTTATCATTTGCCGAAGATTGCGAAGCGCGCAGAGAACAGGCATTTTCGCTGGGTTTCCGCGTGAGTTGAGACATGTTGTGTTTAGCATTGATGAAGGGGAAAGGAGAGAAAAATGGTGGACAGATAAAAGATGAGGACCTTTTAATTGAAGAGGGAGAGAGAGAGAGAGAGACAGAAGAGGCGTAATTAAGGTACACACATTTTACTTTCAGGAAAAAAAAATGATAAGGGTAGAGAAAAAAAACCACAATCTTTGTCATTATACATTCATTTAAATGTGACAGACGGAAGAGAAATGCTAAAAATATTCATTACGTTTAATTTTACACATTTGCAAAAGATTAAATTTAGGAGAAGTAATTTGTTTATCTAATGAGGACGATCCAGAGAGAGAGAAAGAGAAATAATTTTGAGAGTATAATTTAATTGCAGTAATAAAATCAGTGAAGTCAAAAACTACTGCGTCTGGTAGAAGTTGTCCATGATCTCCTGCTGCTCGGACTCGATGCGCTGCAAGTGCTGCAATTCGATCTTGAGACGTTCCAGTTCCAAGGATTTCTCCACGATTTGCGCCTGGATTTGCTGCTGTTCAGACTCGCGCTGCTTCGACAGGTTCTTCACGAGGTTCTGAATGCCGATCGTGCGGATCTTCTCGCGCTCCACTTCGCTGCCAAACTCATCGGCCACTCTTATGAAGCCTTGGATGAGTGTCTGGAACTCCTGGAGCTCTGCGGGGAATTTTATCGGGGGTTTTATGGGCTTTTCCAACAAGAAATAATTTACTCACTATCGCTGTAATTCGTGCAATCATGCTTGAGATCGTTGGTTTCGTTGGCAATTTCGGGCTCAATGACACGCAGTAGATATAGGTCATCGATGTAAAGGCCAATTTTGGCCAGTTCTTCACTCATCGTGACCCTGGAGCCTGGAAATTCTGAGAAATTCCTCCGTTTGGGTCGCCCAGGCCGTTTCCATGGACACCCAGGACAGCGGCCAACTTCAGGTCGCCAGCCGAGACACATGTTATCGACATTTGGCCAGGCACCATCGATCAGTTGGTGCTTGTCACGGTGACAGAGGGCTGACTTTTTTCTGCGACGTTCACGCAAAAATTTTCCGTGAAAAATTCAGCCCATCCATCTAGAGAAAGTTGATGCAAGAGTGCCCCCACGAGAGCCGCAAAGAGTGAAACACAATGTGCGACAACACGCTCATCAGACCCTCGTCGCAGTACGTGAAGCTGAATGTTGGAGGATCTCTGTGAGTCACTTTCTGAGGCGGTTTCTGGGCAGTTTTCTCACTGATTCCGCTCTCTTTGGCTGTTCTTGCAGATTCCAGACCACTATTGGTACCCTCACGAAGCATGACACAATGTTCCGGGCCATGTTCAGCGGACGAATGGACCTGCATACGGACGCAGAAGGTGAGATTCCTGGAGTGACTTTCGCTGTCTTTCACTAGACTCAATTCTGTGTTCTTCTCCACTTCACAGGGTGGATTATGATAGATCGCAGCGGGACGCACTTCGACATCATCCTGAACTTCATGCGCGACGGCACTGTGACGCTCCCGGAGACGCCCAAGGGAGTCTGCGAGCTGCTGGCGGAGGCCAAGTATTACTGCATCAGCGAACTGGCGGAGTCGTGCGAGAGGGCGCTGCCGAAGAAGGAGCGCGAAACTGAACCCATCTGCCGGGTGCCGCTCATCACCTCCCAGAAGGAGGAACAAATGCTGATAAGCTCATCAATAAAAGTGAGTCAAACCTCCGAATTGACATGATAAGCTATGCGTCACGGTGGACTTTTCCAACGCTGAAGCTTCAAGAAATCGTGTCTTCAGCTTTGTCTAGAAGGGCAATAAAAACCTGTGATTTTCTCTCCTTTCCAGCCCGTAGTTAAATTGCTGATCAATCGCCACAACAATAAGTATTCATACACAAACACGTCTGACGACAATTTGCTGAAGAACATCGAGCTGTTCGACAAGCTGTCGCTGCGCTTCAGCTGTCGCATCCTCTTCATCAAGGACGTCATTGGCTCAAATGAGATCTGCTGCTGGAGCTTCTACGGCAACGGGAAGCGCGTGGCGGAGGTGTGCTGCACATCCATCGTGTACGCCACGGACAAGAAGCACACCAAAGTGGAATATCCAGAGGCGCGGATCTACGAGGAGACGCTCAACATCATCCTGTACGAGGACAAGCACCTGCCCGACCAGGACCTAGTGCAGGCCACCAGCACGACCAGGGGCGTGGTGGCGGCGGGCAGCGCCGGTCTGTCTACATACACCAGCGACGAGGAGGAGGAGCGAACGGGCCTGGCGCGCCTGCGGTCGAACAAGCAGAACAACCCCACTTGATTTGCACACCAGCTCAGCTTCAGACGAGCCCTCTTGCCAAAGAAAAAATGAGAAATAGCCACAAACATCAGTGTCATCTTCAGCCATCGCTTCGAGGCCGCCGCGCTTGCGGACGACCATCTGCCATGCGCCCCTCCGCCCACTCCGCAACACCTCCCAGACAGCCCTCCCGCCACCTCCTCTTCCTCCTCCTCCTCCGCCCTGGATGACCTGATCTCCTTCTGCGTAAACTCCCTCCTCTGCTGCCTCGTGCCCAGACTCCAGGACCTCCCATTCTGACTCCCGGACAGAGACTGAACGCCCCCGCATCTTGTGAAAGTGAGAGAAACCCTTGAATAAATAATACAGGAAACCGCGAAACTGAGGGAATCAAGAAAAACACACAATAAGAAGAGATATAAAAGAAAAAAAACCTCAAGCATAATGAGAGAAATAGATGAAGTAATAGTTTATTCATAAATGTCTACCAACTTACACATCAGAAGATTATAATCAACTAAGTGTTAAAGAAATTGTTAAATATCCCCGCAGAAGACTTAGCAAATGAATTCAATCCTCAATTTATCCAGGCTAAAGAGCGCGTGTGCAAAATGTACGCATTATAAATGGAAAAGCAACTAATCCCCAAATGTAAATGACCGTTGTGACCACAATACAATAATAATTGAATAATCTATCCCTCTCACGTGGAGAAATATACTTTCAACATATAAATGTAACCTTCTCTGGAAGACAAGATATATAAAGTAAATAAAGCAGTGATCGTCAATCAACATGTTAATTCTTTGGTCCAATTTTCTAGTGATGTTTCGGTTGTCTTCACATCGAAGCTTTGTTGACGCAAATCGATTTTACACATGCAAGTAAATCACAATCTTGGGGGTTGAAAATTCAACAAATTATAATAAAACATTGCGTAATGTATGAGAAATATTTAACCTACCTTAAAACTCTGCAGAGTATTCTGCTGTTTTTCCTTCAAAACCACTGAAAATCATTATTTTTCATTTATTCATCCGAAAAGAGACCAAAAAGACAATGAAGATCAGGCAGCTCTGCTGAATTTCTAAGAATGATCTTGCTTCAAACCTTGAATGACGTACAAAATTCCTAGTTCCTCAGCCACAACAGTTCACAATTCAAGAAGAAACAGTTGCAAAACTAGCGTGAAAGCATGAATTTTGCAAAATCACCGAAGAAAAGAGTGAAAATCTGGTTTTTAACTGCGTCTTTCACCGAAAATTCACTTCCCCCCAGCGTGTTGCTTAAGTCACTCATCAACTATGGCGCGATATCGGCTGAAATCTGATAGTATTTCAACATTGAGTAGCGGTGAAAGAGCGCGAAGTGCGTCAATGACGAATGGTAATGTGCATTTCGGCGGGAAACGATGTGAATACATTAATTCACACCGTGGGTCGTCTTCTCTGTCTCTCCGCACTTCGCTCTCTCGCCTCTCCAGCCACGAATTGAGTCATCGCGCGCGCCAAGGAAATGTGATTCACCTTCCGCAGCATCACACAGACACACCCTCAATGTCATAACATACTTCTCAAATATATTTCATATTAATGGATTTGGTTATGCAAAAGAAAGAAATGTAAATCTACTATCTATTCTCTGTACAATGTTTCTTTTTTTTTCTCAACCTCTCGCTGCAAGGCTTTTCTCTTCTCTACACACTACATTTATCATTGACCTCTTCGCGATAATTTCTCATCGTCTCAACTCCTTTTTCTTCGCAGAAAGAAAGATATGCTAATGTATGATATAATATGATAGATTAATATGTATAGAAAGAAGTGTTGCTCACTATAAATCAAATTGTGTGTGTTGAATGTCTTTTTGCTTGCAAAAACAATCCTATTACTGGTAACTTAGAATGTACAATCTAATTTGGCACTCTTCAACAACTTCTTCAACATTCCATCCTCAATCAAAGGTTTGCTAATATCCCAATTTCTTACCGATCGTGAAAATCGTAATCATTGTGAAATGAACTCCGAAAGGCATTTCCTGTCTTGATAGGATAATCAGAACATCTTTGACTTTGTCAGTTCCGATCTTGCAAATTCCAAAGCGCCTGATAAACTCATTCGCTTTCGAATGGAAGTTTTTTTTTAAGGCTTAAAGCCACTTGAGCGACAAATTTTCCACGCGAATATCGGATATTAGCAACCTTTTATCTTCAATTTCCCTCACTTTATCTCCTCTAAATCCTAGTAATGTGTTTACTGAATAAAGTTAAGAAATATTTTCCCCACGAACCGCACTCTTAAAGAATCCCCATTCTCGTCCCTCGCATATTGTCTAGTCATCCCACTCGCCGTCGTTGTCTGTGCTGTTGTTGCTCTCCTCGTCCGACGATCTGATCACCCTGCCGCGCTCCATCAGCGCCCGCCGCAGCGCGTCCGCCAGGGCGTCCGTGCCGGCGCCACTGTTTGACCTCTGCACGCTCGGCAACTCGCGCTCGGACGCCGGATTGAGCACCTTCCCGCGCCGGATCTCCTCCAGCAGATCCGACCGCGAGTCTGTGCTGCCGCCCACGCTGCTGCGATCGACAGTCTGCAAAACAGCGCGAAAGGTCATCGTGAGTGTTATGGCGATTCTTTGCACATTAGCACACATTATTTATTGTGCAATCCTTATAAGGAAGTCATAAAGTAGATAATTTCTAGTCAATTAAATCACATTTGTCACACGCACCAATTTATTTTCCTCTTTCTCTTTCGCGTTCTGAGAAATAGAGAAGAAGTGGCGGAAAAAAGACTACAGAAAAGCGAGAATCAAGTCAAAATTCTGTGATTTCTCCATCAATATTGCAAGGAGGAATGAGAAAAATTCAAAAATTGCATAATTATTCATATTCCTTTTGCATTGAAGACTCCAAAACAAACTGGAAACTCTTGGAATTTCAATGATCCTTCAAAACCGCCCCACTTTTCCCTACACTTCATTAAACCAAAAAGCTCATATTTCATGCACACATTCAGCCCATAACGCCAATTGCGAAGTGCACTTTTTCATGGCGAGAGAACTCAATTGGAGTGATCAGGAAGTTGGAAAATGCGTGGAATTCATTGAAGCGCAAAAACAGCGCCAATTGCCACTGAAAAAGCCCCACATTGTTTTGGTGAAAGAGCACAATTAGCACTCCGCGCTGGCCTTCGCCACAGATTCTTACCTTCAGCTTCGTGCCCTGGCGAATGCTCTCCATCAGCGCCGATCGCGCGTCTGGCTCTCCGCTCGGCGGCGGCCTGGAGACGCCCGAATCGCTGGGCGGCGGTGGCGCCATGGGTGGCGGAGGGGCCATCGGGGGTGGAGGCGGCGGAGGCGGAGGCGCCGGGGCGCCAGGAGGCGGCGGTGCGGCCATGGGAGGCGGTCTGCCCGGCGGAGGCGCCTTGGGCGGCGGCGTGGCTTGCGGCTGTCGCAAGGGTGGCGGCGGAGGCGCAGCTCGCGCCCCATTGCGACTCCGCTGTCGCGTAGGCACCGGCGGCGGCGGCATCTGCCGTCCGCCCGTTATCGCGGGCGGCGGCGGCTTGGCGCCCGGCGGACTCGTGGAGCTCAGCTGATCCAGCACTTTGTTGCTCTGGATGAAGTCATAGATGAACTCACGCGTCTCGCGATCCTTCAGCTGGCGCTCAGACACGCCCGCCTTGCGCAGGAAGGGCTTCAGGTGCTCCACCTCTTCACCCGTCCAGTCGAAGCCCTTCTGCTCCGTCCAGCCCACGTGCGTGATGTGCTTGAAGTCCATCGGAATGCCGATGTCGTCCTTCGTGATCTTCCTGTCGCGGCCCTTCTTCACGCGCTGGCCGCCCGACATGGCGCTGAAGTTCGTCGCCGGCGCCACAGCCGGCGGCTGGGGCTGCGGCACGGCCGGACTGCGCTGCTGGCGCAGAACCACCTGCGATTCTTCGTGCTGCGACACCTGCGGGCCGGCGTTCGGCCGTGGCGGAGGCTCTTTCCGCGTCGACGATCGCTTGATACGTTCTGAAATGAAGTCACGGCAGAGGTGGAAAAATTAATCTCCTCGTCAGTTTTCACACATTCTCGAGATCATGAGAGATATCCACATTAGATGCTCCACAAGGAAAGCAAATTTGCAGAAATCTTACAAAGTAGCTTGAAATTTTTCAAGGGGTTTCTTTATGGTAAAGTTCCATAAAGATAAAATGCTTGTGTTCAATATTTCTCAGGACTTCATCTTCGTGTTCTCTCTGTTCTAAGAGTCAGAAAATCAATGTTAAAATCACGTCTAATGAATCCTTAATAGAAGCAAAATCGCTTAAAATTGATAAAAACAGAAATTCGCGTCACTGATTCAACGTTATCTCGCTCTGATTAAGTTATCAACTGAACAATTCTTCTTAAATCTTTAGCCTCTGTCGAGATATCATGCAATAAAATTAGACTTCCCTTAACACGAATGCTTCTCTTGTCACTTTTCTTGTATCTCACTGAAAATGCGAGCTCTTATCTGTCTGAATTGTAATTATTGCACTGCATTGTTTTTCAGAACATTTGGTTTCTTTCTGAGAATTTGATTAGGAAATTTCCGAGAGGAAGAAAATGTCAAATATGAACCTGTTCTTTACAGCTAATTTACACTTTTTCGCACAGATTGTTGTTTTTCCGTGAAATCTCTCAAATGATTTTCATCAAGAGAAATTGATAAACTGTTAACTGTTGGAGGAAATGTACAAAACAAACAAAAATCACTCAATTAAAGATTCATTGAATAATATTTTGAGAAATTAGCAATATTTTTCTCCAAAAAAATGTGCATATTCATTTTTTAACATGTTTCTTCTTTCCTTCGCCAAACACACATTACTATTTACACATTTCAGTTATGGTAAAAGATACACATTGGCTTTCTCGTGTAAAATACAAATTCACCGTCGAGAGAGTGACAGGAAGTGATGGAAATCCCAGAGCTCAATTGACTTCCTCGCGCACCATTAATCGATCCACGTTAATTTTATCACCCACAACTCTTCTCCCTTCTGTGATTTCAGCAGAGTTTTTCACAATTCTCCCGCTATTTTTGGTCACACCGCAATTTCCCATATAAAGAAATTGACGAGAGATTGCATAAAGGAATTAACACATCGCGCGATTTACGCTGACGAGTTTTATCTGTGTGAAATTATCTGCTTCTTTGTCCTCTGTTCAATATTTATTGGGTAATCAATTAAAAGAAATTTCTCTCTTAATTTGCCTGGAATTTTTCCCGCAGTTTCACCACGTCGACATGAGTTTGATTTTCCCTGGCGCTGCGATAAGAAAAAGACCCACTCTTATCGGCGCTTGACAATGAATAAAGTCTCGCTTACTTCACTGATTATTTGGCGCGCTTTCGTAAGCCTTTGCACGATGATAAGCCAACTCAGGTGGGGAATCAATATTACACAGCTTTTGAATGCGTCGTCGAAGTCCCGCAAAATTGGAGGAATTTTTACGACAAGAACCAGTTTTTCGCTCAAGAATTCCATCTCGAGCGCCCAGAATGACGATAACAAGCGCGATAATGAGCTTTCCTCTGAAAATTTCTCTCGCCACTGAATATGGATGCCTTGTGGCGAGTCCGGTTGAATTTCTCGCGATGGATTTCTCGCAATGACCCCCGCCAAAGGACGTGAAAAGAGTGGTCTCACCTTCGCGCCTCTTCGAGCGATTAGTCACGGTCGTGGTGGAGACCCTGTAGAAGCTCTCCGCCTCGTCCTCGGCGGCGAAGTTGAGCGCCACGACGCCGTCCTGACCCTCGAACGTGAGCAGGTACGCGCGCGAGCGCTGGATCTGGATGCTGTCGTACATCTCCTGCTCCCACACCATCTCGTGGCGCATGAGGCAGTACAGGCGGCAGTAGTAGGACTTCTTGCCGCTGTCCTTCACGAAGCACAGCGCCCCCGTGTACCGCTTCACCCAGTGCGAGTGTGCCGGAGCATCTGTCACGTATAACTGGACCACAGCGGTGCACATCGACTGCAAAGCACAGCGATTAGCGGTGAAGACGAGATGCCCGAGGTCAACATACCATGCATTTTCTGTCCAGCAGATTGAAAACTTGCTGGTTCTCCTCCGGTGAAAGTAGCTGGCTGGCCTTGTTGATCTTCCTCTCGGTGCCCACACCAGCTGTGCTGCCCTGGTGCTTCATTCTCACGCGCACTCTGTCCTCACGCCCACACTGACACTGCCCTTGTCACACAAGTCACTTCCAGCGCTGAGGCGCTCCGTCGCGAGACTGACTGGATTTTCTGTGAATCACGGACGGTCGTGAAAAAATGCCCGCATTTGACACATTCCTCCGCACACACGTCACACACTTTCTTCACTCTCCCAGCTGCAAAACTCCACTTCGGCCGAACATTTTCCACTCAATCCATCCACAGGCGCTCCCTTTGCACGGGCGCGATGAGAAAAAGGGTGAAAACCAGGGGGGAAAACGTGAAAACAGGGATGAAAATCGAAGAGAAATCGCAGCTTCGACAACTGCCACAACAATGCCCACTCGCGAGTGTTGCCAGAGCTTAGTCATCATTCCATGGGCGTAGTTTAAGAGTCATCATGCTAATGATGTCGATGTTGATGAACCTTAATGAGCAAGATACACAGGGAAATTCCTAAAGTGGTTTCTTGTACTTCTTTGCTACGTTAAAAGTTCCGAAGAATCACTCAACATTCACGTAATTTATTTGGTAATTTATCACCATCGCGTGTTGCCCGATGCGCATTAGTGCCTAAACAGTTCAGCTGTTCTCCAACCCCCAAAAGAAAACAGTGGGCAGCTGAAATACTCTTTTTCGGTCAGTTTCCATCCCTGGCAGGATGCTGACGCGCCCCCATAGCATCCTTCGACAGCTGTACCAGTCAGTGCGCGAGTGTGCCTCGACCCGCCGCCTTTCTGGTCAGCAGGAAACCACCCTCCGGCTGAGAAGTGAGGTTGGAGTGAAGGGATCCCGGTGTCTTCACACCTCACCAGTGTGCCGGACGACGTTCTATGAGCGCGACCGCAAAAGTAGCTACAACAGCACACGTCCGCAATTGTCGCGGAAAGAGAGAATACTACAGGGACTGAAGGAGCTGAAGTCAGAAATCGGCGTGTGGCGAGAGGAAGTGAAGGAGCACTTCAGATCTGATCCGATCCTGTTGTATCGGCCAGGAGAGGTGGACGTGAAGTTCCAATTCAAGGAGTCGACGGACGTGGAGAAGTGGGTGTGCACAGTGGATTCTGACCACAATGAGGGCTACAGCAAAGCGAGCTTCGACGTCAGTCCGGCAGGTTATGGGCTGTTCCATGGCTTCCTCAACAGTCGCGTGCCCATCGACGGGAAGATCAAGAGATCGGGCTATGCAAACATCAGCAGCATCAGGGCGCAGAAGAGCTTCAAGCGCAACAGCTTCTACAACTGGCAGCCGTACAATATGCTGGTGATGCGAATCCGAGGCGACGGGCGGAGTTATCTGATAAATCTCGCCACCGAGGGATACTTTGACGTGCTGTGGAATGATGTCTACCACTTCGCCCTGTACACAAGAGGAGGACCCTATTGGCAGCACGTTCGGGTGAGGAAGGAGTGAAGAGACTGAATTTAAGCGTGTTTAACTTACCTTGTCGCTATCCGCAGATTCCCTTCTCGAAATTCTTCCTCGCCAGCAAAGGTCGCGTCCAGGACAAGCAGCACGCAATCAATCTGGAGTACATAACGAGAGTGGGCTTCACTGTGGACGCGCGGCATGACTCCGAAGGCCCGTTCAGCCTGGAGATCGACTACATCGGCTGCGAGAACGATCCCTCGCACACGGAAGACTTCGCCTATGAGATGTACAAGCAAGACAAATACATCGTCGGCACGTAGACGCTGGCCAGCATTAAATCGAGATGCCTCTTGTAGAAAATGTGTGAATATATTTACAGTTCCAAATCCTAGAAGCACTCGTGCATGCGTAATTGCTCAATTTCCCGGGCGCTTCCTGAAGATCTTATAGGTGTCCTTGGCCATTATGTAGCTCACGGCGGCGGCCACTGTCGTAGCCCCAGTCAAGTACCACAGTCCGTGCAGCATCGGATGATCTGGAAGACAGACAAGTCCTGACATAAATGTTTCCCTAACAGCGTTAGGAGGCACTTACCCACGTAATCCCACACGGGAGCGCCCAGGCTCGTGGCCACGGCGATCAATTGCACGACAGTGTTGACTTTGCTGACGAACGTCGGCGCAAGTTGGGCAGTGACGTGTGTTGCGTCGAAGTATCTCGTCAAGGTTCTCTGGAATCCCAAAATTATTGAGTATTTTGCCTGATAAACCCTTTGGGCGCAGCTTACCGGCGGCGGAAGACTCTTGTAGCGTATAATAAAGCCGGCGCCGATGAGGAAGACGTCCCTGAAGAGAATCGTGGCAGTGAGCCAAATGGGCAGAAGACTGCAGTAGCTCAGCGAAATCACCAGTGAGCCCATCAGCAACTTGTCCGCCATGGGATCCAGGAAGCTGCCGAAATTGCTCATCTGCGATGGCCAATTCCGGGCAATGTATCCATCCAGCTGTCAAGACAAACCAGGACAAAAAGTGAATCTCCTTCTACAACTGGTCAATTTCTCTCGTAAACTCACCAGATCACTGATTCCCGCGGCCACGAGTAATCCAATGGCGAAAGTGAAGTCCTGCTGGATGATGACATATCCCAGATAAGGTGCCAGGACACCTCTGAGGACGCACAGGAGATTGGGAATTGTCATTATGTTCTCTCTCTCGATGACTTCCTCCATCTTCACTCTCACTTTCGCCCGCTTGTCCCGCAAATCCTGTACCAACTCATTCTTCCTCTCCAGCAGAATCTCCTTCTTCTTCTCCAGCACGTCCTGGATCAGCTCGCGTCCCTGCACAGCCTTGTGCAGCTCCTGAAAGCGCACATCCTTCCTCGCCTTCTCATTTGCAATCGCCCACGGTTTCGACGCTGTGGCACTGCATTTTGTCACCGACGTGAAGAACCAACACGCGCTGGGTCTGCTGCGTGCGTGCTGGCTCACCCAGAGGCGATGGAGGGAGGAAAAATGGGGGATTTGTCTGGGAAGTCGCAACATTTTGACGTAAGTCAGCGAGAACCATCCTGCCAGAGAAAAACAGTCCAATTATTCCTCAGCAAAGAACGTCACGCGCTTCTTTTCACACGCTCGTACTCACCATTAAGTAGATATTTTGATTTTTAGCTGTTTTCACATCTGTCTATTTATATAACAGCCGATAAATGAATTATTCCTCGCCAATCAATGCCGCCCGCTCTCCTTTCACTCTCTTTTCATAAACACGCACTGCAATATGGCGGCAAAAAGGCCCACTCGGCATTGTGAAGTTGGCTACGAGACTTCATTTGAATTTCCCCCCACTTTTTTTTATGAACGTTTCAATTTCCACATTTGATAATAGCAATTTTACGTTAAATGAATTTTGTAGACCGAAAAAATCATCGGAAATGTCGTCAAGGAGTGGAGTAAAGGAAGTTATATTAAAGCTTCGTCGTCTTTGAAATAAATTTGACTGACTCGAACACCCAAATTCACAGCAAAAATTCGCGCATTTTCAAATTGACTAAACCTGCTTCCTGAAATCTGCAATACAATTTCTACATTTAAAGAAATAAAAATTATTTGAAACAGTAAGATTTCATAAATCAAAATGCTGTAACTATTAACTAGCAGATTTGTAGGCAATCATCACACAACATTAAAATGCCTACGAAATGGAAGAGTCAGAAAAAATACTTTTACTCTCTCTGAAAGTCACTGAACCGTTAAACTATCGAGAGTCAAAGAATTTTGATAATGAAGTTGTAAAATTCCACTTCACTGAATAAATTATCTTGACCTACGTCAAAACACAAATTGACTTCATTCATAAGAAAAAGTTCCCACGAAATCTCAGACTAGACACTAAAGCCTATCGCGAGAAGAGATTGACGTGAGTAAAAAAGCATGTTTCTTCATTAAAAATATGCAAATTCTTTGAAAGATTTTTTGACAAATTAGATAGTACGGAATTTTGAGCGTAAAAAGCCGGTTATGCTTCTTTCTCGTGAGGTTCTTTGCCTTCTTTTTCGGGTATATAAGGACTGCGACATCACTAAGATGACTCAGTGTTCTCAAAACTCTTGTCTTGAGTGTGAAACTGAAGATGTTTGTGAAAGTTTGGATAACTTTAGGGTGCATTTGTGCCGCTGGAGCAAAATTGTATAGGAATGGAATTGAAGAAATTTATCACTGGCGAGAAGTCATCTATGAAGATCTTCCTTTCGACGGTAAAAGAACGATTTCTTAACGATTCAGAGGAAGAAACTTGAAAGAACGCTTCACTTGCAGATGATTACTACATCGGAAAGTATCCTTATCACATCCCCGCCAATAATGACGTCAACGGATTGTCTTATCACGCGAAGAGCGGATTAATGCTGACCGCTGTTGGTCGTCTTCGCCCTGGAGTTCCATCGACTCTGAACGCTTTCTGCGTTGGCGATTATGACAAAGGTTCGAGTCCTCATCTTTGGGGCTTTCCGAACTACGAGATGAACACTCTAAAGGCGTCCTTTTACGAGGATACCAGTGATTCCGCACGGAAGTTGAATAGAGAGCAGACAAAGTATTCCGCAGGATATTTCAAATACTTCTTCAGAGGCCAAAACGAATTGGATTTGGGAAGGAAGAGAATTTCGGCGAAACGTCCTTCTAAAGCACAAGAAGATTTCACTATTATCTCTATTTATCGTCCCATCGTTGATAATCGCTGCGACCGCCTGTTTATCATGGATATTGGAGTGCTTTACTTTGGTCCCCATTTGACGTATCATGTTCAGAACCCAGCAATTGTTGTCTTTGATCTGCCATCGGATGGATGCGAAAGGCGAAATTTTCCAGTTGCTCGGCGAGTGGAAATTCCCGATCATTTGTGGAAGAATGCATACGGTTTTGCCTATATAACTCTCGATTACCAATCACAGGATTGCGATGATCTCTTCCTCTACATCCCGAATACCTTCGACCATAGTATTGTAGTGTACGATTATAAGCGAGGGACTTTCTGGGCTTACACGCATCCATCAATGGGACCAGTTTATACAGAATCACTGCAAAACTTCTACGGAATGGATTTCAACCTATCGATTGGTCTCATTGACGTCGTTCTCGGATGGCCTGACCAATACGGAAATCGGAATGCTTACTATGCCCCAGGGACAAGTTTAGCTGAATATGTTGTCTCAACTGAACTCCTGAAGAACCCCAAAAGATCTTCCTTCAATTACGATCACGATGGATTCACTCTCATCGGTTATCGAGGATGCGACACGCAAAACTTCCGTCAAGTCATTGATCTCAGCACTGGAGTGATTTTCTTCGGACAAACGCAATCCAAGAAACTTCTTTGCTGGAACATCCAAAATCCCTTCAATCCAGACACAATTGGAGTTCTCTTCGAGTCTGACGCACTGCAATTTGTCTCGGAAGTAAATATCGATGCTGAAGGATATCTTTGGTTCCATTCAAGTCATCTGGCTTTCATCTTTCTCACGGATGATCAGCATCTCGACATTTCTGATGTCAACTCAAGAACTTTCCGCGTGAAGGCATCAGAAGTGATTAAAGGATCAGTTTGTGACACATCTGAGAGATTCCGCGACGATTTCTGAGCCACACTTTGATTCTAAACAGCGATAAAACATCACCGATTACGAGATGAAGCAAAATTAAAATTGCAAATGAGAAATAAAATTAGTATTCTGAATTGGAAGCAACACTTTTATTTTCGATCGAGAAATATTACGAGAAACTCTTATCTTTAACCCCAACCTATCACCAATGCTAATGGATATATCAAGAAACGGATGTTTGTATAAACTATTGGAATACTTTAGAAATGTCATGTCTGTGGAAAAGTACAAGTATATAAAAATGTCGAATAACTGTAATAAGTGTGATACAGTTATAATAAAATTGTACCCAATATTACAAAAAAAAGATACGACATTTGTATATAAATTTGAAGGGACTGGTTTAACTAATTTCCATTCGATTACAGATTCTTGAGGGTATAAAAGGGCAAGAAAGAACAGAAAGAAAGTCAGTTTCAGTTCTTTTGCTGATCGAAACAGTTCTGAATGTGTGAAAATATGGTGAAAAATCTTAAAATATTTTGTGTTCTCTACTTGTGCATCTGCTTTGCAATAAAGGGAGAAAGTAGTGAAGTTGAGGAAGTTTTTCACTGGAAAGAAGTTATTTTCGAAGATCTTCCATTTGCAGGTGAACTTTGAATAGCAGTTTATAGTTCACTTAAAAATTAATAATCACATTTTTGTAGACGATACACTCATTGGACCGTATCCATACAACATTCCATCCAGCAATGATGTGACGGGAGTTAATCATCATGTTGCGAGTGGATTAATGGTCACATCAGTCGGAAGGCTTCGACCAGGAGTTCCGTCAACGCTCAACGCTTTCTGCACTTCAGATTACAATGAAGGAACGAGTCCTCATCTTTGGGGATTTCCGAACTACGAGAGAAATACTCTCAAGGCATCGTTTTACAATCAAGGCAGGGCATTGGCGTCTTTTAGGAAAAATTATTATCCCGCGTATTATAACCACATTTACGCTACTTATAATCGCGAGAATGATTACACCATTATTAATGTTTATTTTCCTCATGTGGATGAGCGATGCAACCGTCTTTTCGGCTTGGACACTGGAATTCTTCACTATTCACCAACTGAAAGCTACGATGTTCAATATCCAGCACTTCTTGTGTACGAACTGCCTTCAAATGGATGCCAAACGCGCAATTTTCCATTAATAAGACGCGTAGAAATTCCTAAATATCTTTGGACAATTTCAACGGGTTTTCTCACTGTTACACTCGATTACCAACCCAAAGGTTCATGTGAAGATGTCATATTGTACATATGCAACACTTTGGATAATAGTTTAGTTGTGTACGATTACAAACGCGGGGATTTTTGGTCTTTCGTGGATGATTCCATGAAACCAATTCTCTCTGAATCAACACAGTATTTCAAAACATTCAGTTACTTTATTCCACTCGGAATAACGAATATTGTTCTTGGATATCCTGATAAGAATGGCAATAGAAATGCATATTATAGCCCATGTTCTAGTGTGACTGAGTATGTAGTTTCAACGAAGTTCTTAAAGGACAAAAAGGCCTCATATAAGTATAATAGAGAAGATTTCACACTAATTGGAGTTCGCGGTTGCGGCTCAGAGACTTATAGACAAGTCTTTGACCCAGAAACAGGAGTGATTTTCTTTGGGGAAATGAATTCGCACAGAATCAGTTGCTGGAACACGAGATTTCCCTTCAATCCAGACACAATTGGAGTTGTTTTTGAGTCTGAATTATTATTATATCCTTCTGATATGCATTTAGACTCTGAAGGTTTTCTCTGGATTGTAACAGATCAACTTCCTCTTATGTTCAACAGCGCGGACATTCTTGATACGAATGAAATTAATTCCAGACTATTTCGTGTGAAGGCATCTGAAGCTGTTAAAGGAACAGTTTGTGACAATTACATTCCATACTAAGAAATGTTGAAAATTAAGATTGTAAACGAATAAACTGATTTTAATAAAAAATAATTCTCCGTAAAGTCAAATCTCAGGCACTGGAGTGATTTTCTTCAGACAAACGCAATCCAAGAAACTTCTTTGCTGGAACATCCAAAATCCCTTCAATCCAGACACAATTGGAGTTCTCTTCGAGTCTGACGCACTGCAATTTGTCTCGGAAATAAATATCGACGCAGAAGGATATCTTTGGTTCCATTCAAGTCATCTGGCTTTCATCTTTCTCACGGACGATCAGCATCTCGACATTTCTGATGTCAACTCAAGAACTTTCCGCGTGAAGGCATCAGAAGTGATTAAAGGATCAGTTTGTGACACATCTGAGAGTTTCCGCGGCGATTTCTGAGCCACGCTTTGATTCTAAACAGCGATAAAACATCACCGATTACGAGATGAAGCAAAATTAAAATTGCAAATGAGAAATAAAATTAGCATTCTGAATTAGAAGCGCGACACTTTTAATTTCAAACAAGAAAGAATACAGGAAACATTACTCTTTAACCCCAATCAATGACTAATGCTAATGGATATATCAAGAAACGGATGCTTGTGTAGACTCATAGAATACTTTAGAAATGTGAGGTCTTTCTATTGGAAAGTACATTAGTATACAAAAATGTCGAACAACACTAATTAAAGAGATATATTAACAATAAAATTCTACCCAATACTAAAAACGGTGCAAAATTTGTATGTTAATTTGAAGCCACAGGTTTAACTAATTTCCATTCGGTAAGAGATTCAGACGAGTATAAAAGGCGAGGATGAGCAGAAAGACAGTCAGTTTCAGTTCTTTTGCTAATCAAAACAGTTCTGGATGTGTGAAAACATGGTGAAAAATCTCAAAATATATTGTGCTCTGTTCTTGTGCTTTTGCTTTATAACAATTGGAGAAAGCAGTGAAGTTGAGGAAGTTTTTCACTGGAAAGAAGTTATTTTCGAAGATCTTCCATTCAAAGGTGAAGAAAATAATGTGATCATATTTTAAAAAGAAAAAAAAGAAGGTATTAAGGATAATATCGTCTTCACAGACAACACTCTAATTGGACCGTATCCATACCACATTCCAAGCTGTAATGATGTGACGGGAATTAATCATCATGTCGCGAGTGGATTAATGGTCACATCAGTCGGAAGGCTTCGACCAGGAGTTCCGTCAACGCTCAACGCTTTCTGCACTTCAGATTACAATGAAGGAACGAGTCCTCATCTTTGGGGATTTCCCAATTACGCAAGAAACACTCTCAAGGCATCGTTTTACAATCAAGGCAGACAATTGAGTTCTGTTAGAAAGAATGGTTATCCAACATATAACAACAATTACGCTAGTTATATTCGCGAGGATGATTACACCATTATTAACGTATATTACCCTCATATGGATGAGCGATGCAATCGTCTATTCGCCTTGGACACCGGATATCTTCACTATTCACCAACTGAAAACTACGATGTTCAATATCCAGCACTTCTTGTGTATAAACTGCCTTCAAATGGATGCCAAACACGCAATTTTCCATTAATAAGACGCGTTGAAATTCCTAAATATCTTTGGACACTTTCAGTGGGTTTTATAACAGTCACGCTCGATTACCAACCCAAAGGTTCATGTGAAGATGTCATATTGTACATATGCAACACTTTGGATAACAGTCTAGTTGTTTACGATTACAAACGCGGGGATTTCTGGACATTTGCCGATGAATCAATGAAGCCAATTCTTTCTGAATCAATACTGTATTTCAAAACATTCAGTTACTTCATTCCACTCGGAATAACGGATGTTGTCTTTGGATATCCTGATAAGAATGGCGATAGAAATCTTTACTACAGTCCAGGTTCAAGTGTAACAGAATATATTGTCTCTACCAAGCTTTTAAAGGACAAAAAGGCCTCATATAAGTATAATAGGGAAGATTTCACACTAATCGGCTATCGAGGCTGCGGCTCAGAAGCTTATAGACAGGTCTTTGACCCAGAAACAGGAGTGATTTTCTTCGGAGAATCAAATTCGCACAGAATCAGTTGCTGGAATACTCGACTTCCCTTCAATCCAGACACAATTGGAGTTGTTTTTGAGTCCGATCTTCTGTTATTTCCATCTGAGCTGTTCTTGGATTCGGAAGGTTTTCTCTGGTTTCTAACAGATCAAACTCCTCTTATGTTCAACAGCGCGGACATTCTTGACACGACTGAAATTAATTCCAGACTATTTCGTGTGAAGGCATCTGAAGCTGTTAAAGGAACAGTTTGTGACAATAACATTCGATATTAAAAAAGATGATAAATTATACAAGACAAAAAGAATAATAAACTGAAGGCAAATAAAAACTATCACTCGATGCTCACTCTATCTCGATTTTCCTATGCATATTTTATGTTAATGTATGAAAAAAATTCATAAAATTCTGTCGTGTCAGTGAAGCATCTATATATACGCTGTATTGAGATTCTTGTTAATTGATCATTAATTTTTGATTAGAATACCGTATTCTTAGCACACATAGTCAGTTGATCGGTTCCTTTTCTGAGTATAAAAGATCAGCCCAATCTCCAAATTGACTCAGTGTTCTTCAGTGCGAGTGTGAAGCTGAAGATGTTTGTGAAAGTTTGGATAACTTTAGGGTGCATTTGTGCCGCTGGAGCAAAATTGTATAGGAATGGAATTGAAGAAATTTATCACTGGCGAGAAGTCATCTATGAAGATCTTCCTTTCGACGGTAAAAGAACGATTTCTTAACGATTCAGAAGAAGAAACTGGACAGAACGCTTCACTTGCAGATGATTACTACATCGGAATGTATCCTTATCACATCCCCGCCAACAATGACGTCAACGGATTGTCTTATCACGCGAAGAGCGGATTAATGCTGACCGCTGTTGGTCGTCTTCGCCCTGGAGTTCCATCGACTCTGAACGCTTTCTGCGTTGGCGATTATGACAAAGGTTCGAGTCCTCATCTTTGGGGCTTTCCGAACTACGAGATGAACACTCTAAAGGCGTCCTTTTACGAGGATACCAGTGATTCCGGACGGAAGTTGAACAGAGAGCAGACAAAGTATTCCGCAGGATATTTCAAATACTTCTTCAGAGGTCAAAACGATTTGGATTTGGGAAGGAAGGGAATTTCGACGAAACGTCCTTCCAAAGCACAAGAAGATTTCACCATTGTTCACATCCATCCTCCCATTGTGGACAATCGCTGCGATCGGGTATTTGTCCTTGATAATGGCGTAATTAACATCAATCCCAGTTTGGCGTACAATGCTCAGAATCCAGCAATTGTCGTGTTTGATTTGCCTTCGGATGGATGCGAAAGGAGGAAATTTTCAGTTGTGCGACGAGTAGAAATTCCCAACCATTTGTGGACAACTCCCGGTGGTTTTACTTTCATTACACTTGATTACCAATCAAATGATTGTGATGATCTCTTCCTATACATTACAAACACTTTCGATGGTCTAATCATTGTTTATGATTATAAGAGAGAAAATTTCTGGTCATATTCGATTCCAACGATGAAACCAATTATTGCAGAATCTGTGATGAATTTGTACGGAAAAGAACAAAATCTGCCAATTGGAATTATGGATGTTGTCTTGGGGTGGCCTGACAAAAACGGCAATCGAAATGCTTATTATGCTCCAGGAGCGAGTTTGGCTCAATATGTTGTCTCAACTGAACTCCTGAAGAACCCCAAAAGATCTCCGCAATATTATGACCCAGCAGAGTTTGCCCTCATCGGTTATCGAGGATGCGACACGCAAAACTACCGTCAAGCCATTGATCTCAACACTGGAGTGATTTTCTTCGGACAAACGCAATCCAAGAAACTTCTTTGCTGGAACATCCAAAATCCCTTCAATCCAGACACAATTGGAGTTCTCTTCGAGTCTGACGCACTGCAATTCGTCTCGGAAATAAATATCGACGCAGAAGGATATCTTTGGTTCCATTCATCTCATGTCGCATTTTTGTTTCTCACGACTGATCCGCTCGACATTTCCGACGTCAACTCGAGAACTTTCCGCGTAAAGGCATCAGAAGTAATTAAAGGATCAGTTTGTGACACTTCTGAAAGATTCCGCGGGGATTTCTGAGCAATCCTTTGATTTTAAATAGCGATAAAACAACGCAGATTACGGAAAATTAAAATTGAAACCGAGAAAAAATGGAATTAGCATAATAAATTTGATGGAAGCACAACACTTTTTTATTTTAAACTGGAAATTGAAGAAATTCTTTGAAAATCGCTCCTATTTAATCCCAAGCTATCATCAATGTTATTGGATACATTGAAAAACAGGTGATTGTGATATTATTAGAGAATGTATGTCTTTCTTCAAGAAAGTTTATTCTATACTTTGGTTAGAATACAAATATCTTAAACATTTTGAAAACCGTTGATTTATAGGTATATTCTCAGCCTATGTGATGCAAATTTTCTATGCATACAAGTATGCCATAAATTTTGGACGACAGGTTTAACTAATTTCAATGCAGAACAGATTTTCGAGAGTATAAAAAGGCCAGAACGAGCAGAAAGAAAGACAGTTTCATTTCTTTTGCTAATCGAAAAAGTTCTGGATGTGTGAAAACATGGTGAAAAATCTCAAAATATATTGTGCTCTGTTCTTGTGCTTTTGCTTTATAACAATTGGAGAAAGCAGTGAAGTGGAGGAAGTTTTTCACTGGAAAGAAGTTATTTTCGAAGATCTACCTTTCGCAGGTGAATCGTTATCACGAAAAATATGTGCAAATATTAAAGAAAACTGTCTTCGCAGATGACACCCTCATTGGCCCCTATCCGTACAACATTCCATCCAGCAATGATGTGCAGGGCATTAACTATCATGCTGCAAGCGGACTCATGATTGCCACTGTCGGACGACTTCGGCCAGGAGTTCCGTCGAATCTCAACGCTTTCTGCACTTCAGATTACGATGAAGGAACGAGTCCTCATCTTTGGGGATTTCCCAATTACGCAAGAAACACTCTCAAGGCATCGTTTTACAATCAAGGGAGAAGATTGAATTCTCTCAGGAAGAATTATTATCCCTCATATTTTAATCACATTTACGCTGACTATATTCGAGAACATGATTACACCATCGTTAGCGTCTATTATCCTCACATTGATGAACGATGCAATCGCCTTTTTGTTCTAGACACTGGATATCTGCATTATTCACCTACTCAAAATTATGATGTGCAGAATCCAGCACTTCTTGTTTATGATCTACCTTTGAATGGATGTCGATCACGTAATTTTCCATTAATAAGACGCGTTGAGATTCCCAATCATCTTTGGACTTTTAAAATGGGCCTTGACTTCATATCATTTGATTATCAACCTAAAGGTTCATGTGAAGATTTAATTGTTTACATATCCAATGTTCTCGATAACAGTTTAGTTGTTTACGATTACAAACGCGGGGATTTCTGGACATTTGCCGATGAATCAATGAAGCCAATTCTTTCTGAATCAATACTGTTTTTCAAAACATTCACTTACTTCATTCCACTCGGAATAACGAATGTTGTCCTTGGATATCCGGATAAGAATGGCGATAGAAATCTTTACTACAGTCCAGGTTCAAGCGTAACAGAATATATTGTCTCTACCAAGCTTTTAAAGGACAAAAAGGCCTCATATAAGTATAATAGGGAAGATTTTACACTAATCGGCTATCGAGGCTGCGGCTCAGAAGCTTATAGACAGGTCTTTGACCCAGAAACAGGAGTGATTTTCTTCGGAGAATCAAATTCGCACAGAATCAGTTGCTGGAATACTCGACTTCCCTTCAATCCAGACACAATTGGAGTTGTTTTTGAGTCCGATCTTCTGTTATTTCCATCTGAGCTGTTCTTGGATTCGGAAGGTTTTCTCTGGTTTCTAACAAATCAACTTCCTCTTATGTTTAACAGCGCGGACATTCTTGACACGACTGAGATTAATTCCAGACTATTTCGTGTAAAGGCATCTGAAGCTGTTAAAGGAACGATTTGCGACAATTTATATTAGCTAAGCAGCATATTGTAAAACTAACGATTTGAAACAAATAAATGTAAACACAAGATAAAGATTTCTCAAAATCAGGATAAAGTGGAATAAAGTCAAGAGAAAGAAGTTGAATTAGCATATTGTTTGATAAGAAACACAACACTGAATACCGAGATGGAAATACGATGGAACTTTTCTCATTTTAGCTATGATCAATGTTAATGTAGGTATTTATGTATCAAGAAAACAGTAATAATGATCACAAACTCTGCTTGTGTACTTTATTAATAATTATACACTATCTTTACGTCTTTTTATGACAATTTTGATAGAGAAGATTTCGTAAAAACTTCTAATGAGGGATACAAATGAATGTATTATAATTCTTTTTTCTACTACTTCTTGGACATGCTTATGTACTTAATGCAAAATTTGTATGCACATAAATTTCGGCCAACAGACTAGCCTCAATTAAATGCGATAAAAGGTTCCTGCGTGTATAAAAAGAAGAGGATGAGCAGAAAGACAGTCAGTTTCAATTCTTTAGCTAATCGAAACAGTTCTGAACGTGTGAAAACATGGTGGATCATCTTAAAATATTTTGTGTTCTCTTCTTGTGCTCTTGCTTTACAACAATTGGAGAAAGCAGTGAAGTGGAGGAAGTTTTTCACTGGAAAGAAGTTATTTTCGAAGATCTTCCATATAAAGGTCTAGCTTCGAAAGACAGCTTAGAGCTCACACCGAATTTCATAATAACTTAATTGTAGACGATACACTAATTGGCCCGTATCCATACAACATTCCATCCAGCAATGATGTTTTAGGAGTTAATCACCATGTTGCGAGTGGATTAATGATCACAACAGTTGGGAGGCTTCGACCAGGAGTTCCGTCAACGCTCAACGCTTTCTGCTTAAAGGATTATGAAGAAGGCACGAGTCCTCATCTTTGGGGATTTCCCAACTACGAGAGAAATACTCTCAAGGCATCGTTTTACAATCAAGGCAGGGTATTGGCGTCTTTTAGGAAAAATTATTATCCCGCGTATTATAACCACATTTACGCTACTTATAATCGGGAGAATGATTACACCATAATTAATGTCTATTTTCCTCATGTGGATGAGCGATGCAATCGTCTATTCGCCTTGGACACTGGATACCTTCGTTATTCTCCGACATTAAGCTACGATGTTCAATATCCAGCACTTCTTGTCTACGGATTACCTGCAAATGGATGCCAAACGCGCAATTTTCCATTAATAAGACGTATTGAGATACCGAAACATCTTTGGACACTTTCATTGGGTTTTATAACTGTCACGCTCGATTACCAACCCAAAGGTTCATGTGAAGATGTCATATTGTACATATGCAACACTTTGGATAATAGTTTAGTTGTGTACGATTATAAACGCGGGGATTTCTGGTCTTTCGTGGATGATTCCATGAAACCAATTCTCTCTCAGACAGCCGTGTATTTTAAAACATTCACTTTTTATGTTCCACTTGGATTGTCAAATATTGTTCTTGGATATCCTGATAAGAATGGCGATAGAAATGCTTATTACGGTCCAGCTGCAAGCTCTGTCGAATACGTCGTGACAACAAAGTTACTTAAAAATAAAAGAGCTGCTTATAAATACAATCGAGAATATTTCACTCCAATAGGCTATCGAGGTTGTGGAGCTGAACGCTTTAAACAGGTCTTTGACCCAGAAACAGGAGTGATTTTCTTCGGAGAAGCAAATTCGCATAGAATCAGTTGCTGGAACACGCGACTTCCGTTCAATCCAGATACAATTGGAGTTGTTTTTGAATCAGATCTTTTATTATATCCTGCCGATATGTTCTTGGACACAGAAGGATTTCTCTGGTTTTTAACAGATCAACTTCCCATTATGTACAATACCGCGGATTTCCTTGACACTTCTGAAATTAATTCTAGGCTTTTCCGTGTAAACGCTTTTGAAGCTATTAAAGGAACAATTTGTGACATTGACTAAAATATATATTGAAAATGATTGTCAGCATTTCAAAAAGAAAAACTAAAACTATTATTGTTTTTCCTAAAAATATACAATTTCCACCATTAATGCTTTCACTATATAATATATATATATATATATATATAATATATATATATATATATAATATATAATATATATTATATATATATAGACACCGACTAAATAAATTAAAATTTGAGAATACATGTGTTTTTTTGTGGCAGGACGAGGGTTAATTCACTGCAGAATGCAAGTGAAAGAATACACAAATTCTTATAAACTTATCTCACTGCAATTATGCAAATTGTTCAAGAATTTCGTTGATATCGGATTCAATTTATCAGGAAGAATAAAGTGCGAGACGTATAAATTCTGAGCCGTAAAATTTTCCATGAAGCCTTCGTACAGTATAAAAGGCAAAGGAGAATAAGAAAATAATCAGTTCTTCAGCGAATTCCCGATGACGAAGGTCTTTAGTGTGTTTTGGGCTCTTTTCGGATGCCTTTTTGTTGTTGAAGGAGTGAAGAATAATGGCGTAGAAAGAGTGTTTTACTGGAAGGAAGTAATATTTGAAGATCTTCCATATAAAGGTGAAGTTTTAACTGTAATTTAGTGCACATATCGAGTATAAGAAAAAGTTCATTGCAGACGACACTCTCATTGGACCATATCCATACAACATTCCATCCAGCAATGATGTGACGGGAGTTAATCATCATGTTGCGAGTGGATTAATGGTCACAACAGTCGGAAGGCTTCGACCAGGAGTTCCTTCAACACTCAACGCTTTCTGTTTAAAGGATTACGATGAAGGCACGAGTCCCCATCTGTGGGGATTTCCGAATTACGAGAGAAATACTCTCAAGGCATCATTTTATAGCACAAGTCGTAATCTGGCAGTGAGTGAAACAGACATGTATTCCGCTGAATACAGTGAATTCTATGGTGTTTATAATCCTTCAAATGATTACACAATAATTCATATCTACTATCCAATTGTTGATGCACGATGTAATCGTCTTTTTGCTATTGACACTGGATTTCTTCATTATTCACCAACGGAAAGTTATCAAGCTCAAAATCCAGCTCTTCTTGTGTTCGAGTTACCATTGAATGGGTGCCAAAAACGCCGATTTCCTTTAATTCGAAGAGTTGAGATCCCCAAATACCTCTGGACTATTTCAGCTGGTTTCGGAACGGCTTCACTTGATTATCAACCTAAGGGTTCTTGTGATGATCTCATCCTGTACATCAACAACGCATTTGATTACACTATTATTGTTTACGACTTTAAACGCAACGATTTTTGGATATTTGCCGATCAATCAATGAAGTCAGTTCTCGCAGAATCTACGGTTTACTTTAAAAAATTTAGTTATCTTGTTCCCGTTGGAATAACAAATATTATCCTTGGATACCAAGATAGGAATGGAGATAGAAATGCTTATTTCGCTCCAGCTTCAAGTATTGCTGAATATGTCGTCGCGACAAGGCTTTTGAAAAATAAGAGAGCTTCCTATAAACACAAACCAGAGGACTTCACCTTAATTGGTTATCGAGGCTGTGCAGCTCAAAATTATAGGCAAGTCTTTGATCTATCAACAGGAGTGATTTTCTTTGGGGAAATGAATTTACACAGAATCAGCTGCTGGAATACCAAACTGCCCTTCAATCCGGACACAATTGGAGTTGTTTTCCAATCAGACGCCTCTTTCTTTCCTTCTGAAATACATTTGGATTCGAAAGGATACCTTTGGTTTCTAACGGATCAATTACCAATCATCTTCGCAACTGCTGATCAATTGAATGTTACAGAAATAAATTCTCAGCTTTTCCGTGTAAAAGCGTCTGAAGCCATAAAAGGAACAATTTGTGACAATGACCGAATCTTGTATGATAAAATAAATGATTAAAGTGTGTATCTGTATTTGCAGAATACAATAAATAAATAAAAAAAAATTGTCGTTTAATATTGAAGTTTAGTTTTTGGCGTTTTTCTGAACGAATTTATAGGTACGCAGTGTAAAGAATTAAAATAATCTTTGATGAACATTCGAATTCAATGTTTGCTTTTTTGGGCAGAATGGGGGTTCATTTACTCCAATATATGTATGTAAATTGAATATATGAATTGGAGAGAGTATATAAATTTTTATGATTTCGTTTTATTCTCGGATTCCTCTCGGTGTGTTTATGCAAATTCTCTGATAAGTTCGGCATATATTTCAACAAACAGTAAAAAGATGCCCTAAAGACAGACAAAGAAATATTCTCACGAGGCTTTCGTTACAATATAAAAGACAAAGCAGAATAAGAAGAGAATCAGTTCTTCAGCGAATTCCCAATGGCGAAGGTTTTTAGTGTGTTTTGGGCTCTTTTCGGATGCCTTTTTGTTGTTGGAGGACTGAAGAATAATGGCGTAGAAAGAGTGTTTTACTGGAAGGAAGTAATATTTGAAGATCTTCCATATAAAGGTGAAGTTTTAACTGTAATTTAGTGCACATATCGAGTATAAGAAAAAGTTCATTGCAGACGACACTCTCATTGGACCATATCCATACAACATTCCGTCCAGCAATGATGTTACGGGAGTTAATCATCATGTTGCGAGTGGATTAATGGTCACAACAGTCGGAAGGCTTCGACCAGGAGTTCCTTCAACACTTAATGCTTTCTGCCTAAATGATTACGATGAAGGCACGAGTCCCCATCTTTGGGGATTTCCGAACTACGAGAGAAATACTCTCAAGGCATCATTTTATAGTACAAGTCGTAATCTGGCATTCAGTGAGAAAGACAAGTATTCCGCTGAATATTACAATGAATTCTATAGTGGTTATAATCGCGAGAATGATTACACAATAATCAATATCTACTATCCAGTCGTTAGTGAGCGATGTAATCGTCTCTTTGTTGTGGACACTGGGACTCTTGTCTATTCGCCGACCGAAAGTTATCAAGCTCAAAATCCAGCACTTCTTGTGTTCGAGTTACCATTGAACGGATGCCAATCAAGGAGATTCCCTTTAATTCGGCGTGTTGAAATTCCTCAATATCTCTGGACAAATTCAGCTGGTTACACAGCTGTCACGCTTGATTTTCATCCTAAGGGTTCTTGTGATGATGTCTTTCTGTACATCAACAGCGCATTAGAACACACTATTACTGTTTATGACTACAAACGCAACGATTTTTGGGTATTTGCCGATCAATCAATGAAACCGATTATTGCTGAATCAGCTTTAAATTTTAAAACATTCAGTTACACTCTCCCACTTGGAGTAACAAATATTGTTCTTGGATATCAAGATAGGAATGGTGATAGGAATGCATATTTCGGTCCATACTCCAGTGTTTCTGAATACGTTGTAACGACAAAGCTCTTAAAGAATAAGAAAGCTTCCTATAAACACAATCCAGAGGACTTCACCTTAATTGGTTATCGAGGCTGTGGATCTCAGGCCTACAAACAAGCCTTCGATCCAGAAACAGGAGTGATTTTCTTCGGAGAAATAAATTCGCACAGAATCAGCTGCTGGAATACCAAACTGCCCTTCAATCCGGACACAATTGGAGTTGTTTTCCAATCGGACGCCTCTTTCTACCCTTCTGAAATACACTTGGATTCGACAGGATATCTTTGGTTTTTACCGAATCAACTTCCTATCCTTTACATGACTGCTGATCAGTTGAATGTAACTGAGATTAATTCCAGGCTCTTCCGCGTGAAGGCATCTGAAGCCATTAAGGGAACAATTTGTGACAATTACGTTCATCAATATTGAAATTGTGTAATTAAAAATATGTTGATTAATAGAATAAAAGCATCATTTTACACAATAATGCTATCGAAAATAGTTTCTTTTCCAACTTAACACACATTTGCTTCTATTTTGTTCACCGTAATTCACGTGTTGACCATAAAGTATCGTAAATTCTCATAGAGATACTCGTGTCTATCTTGGTGCAAATCATTATGTAAATTCTATGGGAATTTTGGCGATACTGAATTTTTTATCTATTTATTTGAGATGCATAGTTAAAAGCGACGATTTTCATTTATAATTCGATAGTAGGTATAAAAGGCGAGGAAGCAAAAGGAGAGAATCAGTTCTTCAGTGTTTTCACAATGGCAAAGATCTTTAGTGTGTTTTGGGCTGTCTTTGGGTGTCTTTTCGTTATTGAAGCACTCAAGAGTAATGGTGTAGAAAGAGTGTTCTACTGGAAGGAAGTTATGTTTGAGAATCTTCCACTGAAGGGTGAAGTTTCTATTGTGTATTAGTGTTCTTCTGAAATTAAAAGAATAAATTTTGCAGATAATACTCTCATTGGGCCCTATAAATATCGCATTCCAACTAACAATAATGTGATGGGAGTTAATCACCACGTCGCGAGTGGATTAATGGTCACTACAGTAGCACGAGTGCGACCAGGAGTTCCGTCAACTCTGAATGCTTTTTGCTTAGCCGATTACAAGCAAGGCACGAGTCCTCATCTTTGGGGATTTCCCAATTATGAAAGGAACACTCTGAAAGCCTCATTCTATAATGAAGGACGAAAGTTATCACGTCACGAAAAGAACAAGTACTCAAATTACTATCATTTCTATGGCGGTTATAATCGCGAGAATGATTACACAATTATCAACATTTATTATCCTCATATCGATGAGCGATGCAATCGCCTTTTCGTTCTGGACACTGGATATCTGCATTATTCGCCAACTGTTAACTACGATGTTCAATATCCAGCACTTCTTGTTTACGACCTGCCTTCAGATGGATGCCAAACGCGCAATTTTCGATTAATTCGACGTGTTGAGTTTCCCAAATATCTCTGGACCAATTCAGTTAGTTTTCATTCAGTTACAGTGGATTATCAGTCCAAGGGTTCTTGCGATGATATATTTCTATACATCACGAATGTCTTTGATAACAGCCTGATTGTTTATGACTACAAACGCGGGGACTTTTGGTCTTTTGTGGATGAATCTATGAAACCCATTCCATCTGAAACGTCATTCGTATTTGAAGGAGATCTTTTTACTCTGCCATTAGGAATAGTTAATGTTGTTCTTGGTTATCCGGACAAAGATGGTGATAGAAATGCTTACTTTGCGCCTTCTGGAAGTTCTGTTGAGTACGTCGTCACAACAAAGCTGTTAAAAAGTAGAAAAGCTTCTTATAAATATAACCCGGAAGATTTTAAACTCATAAACTACCGTGGATGCGGATCTCAAGTTTACAAGCAAGTCTTTGATCCAGCAACTGGAGTGATTTTCATCGGCGAAGTGAATTCGCACAGAATTCGATGCTGGAATACTCAACTTCCTCTCAATCCAGACACAATGGGAACTGTATTTGAATCAGATTCCCTATTATATCCCGCTGACATGTATTTAGATTCGCAAGGTTATCTTTGGTTCTTAGGAAATCATCTTCCGACTATGTATTTGACTGAAGATCCACTAGATTTATCGAAAATCAATTCCAATTTGTTCCGCGTGAAGGCATCTGAAGCCATCAAAGGAACAATTTGCGACACGTATTTTTATTAATAACGGTATTTTAGAGATAAGCTCAGAAAAATGTAAACGATAAGGTGTTAATCAAATAAAATATAAGCAACTCTTGCCCCGAATGGTGTTGGAAATCACTTTATTTTAGATGCCTTTAACTATATAAAGCAACATATTTGAGTTTATTTTATTCACCGCACCTCACGTGCCACAATAAAAGATAAATCTTGGAGATATAGCAAATCATTATGCAAATTGTGTGAGAATTTAGAAGATATCGAATATTTCATCAATCTGTTTCATGTGCTCTAGTTTCAAAGAAAAGTGTGGATCATTTGCTAGTATAAAAGTCGAGGAAGCAATAAGGAGAGAATCAGTTCTTCAGTGTCTTCACAATGGCAAAGATCTTTAGTGTGTTTTGGGCACTTTTCGGATGCCTTTTTGTTGTTGGAGGAGTTGCAAGAAATAGTGCGGAAAGAGTGTTTTACTGGAAGGAAGTGATTTTCGAAGATCTTCCATATGCAGGTAAACTGTGAAAGGCAAATTAGTGCTCGATCTGAACTAAAAAAAAATAATAATATTCCAGACGATACTCTCATTGGTCCGTATCCATACAACATTCCGTCCAGCAATGATGTTTTAGGAGTTAATCATCATGTTGCGAGTGGATTAATGGTCACAACAGTTGGGAGAATTCGACCAGAGGGCTGAGTCTTGAAAATGGTCAAAATCAGAATCAACAGAACCTCATCGATTTTTAACTTGTTGACATGATCACAATTTTGAAAGTTTCGTGAGTCTTGAGTCAAAATCAGCCTTCGGAATTTTTCGGGAGGGGAAATGCTTTCGGAACGCAGGCAGAAACGTCATTTTGTTGTTTTGATTTGAGCCAAGTTGAGGTGTTTGAGGCAGAAAATGATAAAAATGCTCCTCAAACTTAACTTTTACCCCAAGGAATTATCCTGGGGTGTTTGCCCACGCCTTAAGAAGGCTAAAATTAACCCTCGGGCGACAAATATGTGAATAATGTGCATTATTAACGTACATATGTTCTCCTGCGGTTATACGAGAAGTCCCAGGAGCAGAATGAGACTTCTGTGAGTGATCTTGAGGTGCCCCACGAGATGAGGATCGACTTCCTCCCCTTTGCAAAAATTTCTCCATCCATTTTTTTTGTTGAACCAATTGTTCATCTTCTGATTACACTTGGATTTGTACTATCTGTAAACATGTTCAGTTCATTGATTCATAATTCATGAGACTTAAGCACTAAGCAAAGGGCGAAGAATTTGGGAATTCCATTCAATTAAAGATACCTTCAAAACTGAAAATGTTTATGGCAAGGATTATGCATGACATAATAAAATTTGGATTATCGTTGCCTCAACACTGCAAAGAGGGACTCTCAGGGACTCAGCGCGCATGGAAAGAAATTATTTTCAGTCCCTGAGCCTCTTACGCGAGCGCAAGAAAAGAGATGCTTATATCTCGGCTGTAATAAGGAAAATTATCAATATAAAATTAAAAACAATTAGAATAATTATTCTATTATCCATTTCCGATGCCATCGATGGCCATTTGATACTCTAATTGAAGTAAAATCTTAAAATTGAGACACTGAGCAATCGTGTTGACTCGATGTTCTCATGTCAACACGAGTTGATTGATTTTGAGCTAATTTTGACTCGGTTTCTGACTGATTTTTACTCAAGACTCGCAAATTTCTCAAAATCAGTCAATTTCCACTGATTCTGATTTTGACGAATTTCAAGACTCAGCCCTCAGGAGTTCCGTCAACACTTAACGCTTTTTGCTTAAAGGACTACGATGAAGGCACGAGTCCTCATCTTTGGGGATTTCCGAACTACGAGAGAAATACTCTCAAGGCATCGTTTTACAATCAAGGCAGACAATTGGATTCCCCTCGGAAGAATTATTATCCCGCATATTATAACCACATCTACACTGGTCATAACCGCAAGAGTGATTACACTATCATAAACATATATTTTCCTCACGTTGACGAAACATGCAATCGTCTTTTTGTTGCGGACACTGGAGTTTTTCACTATTCTCCGACATTGACTTATGAAGTTCAATATCCAGCACTTCTTGTTTATGATCTGCCATATAATGGATGCCAAACGCGCAATTTTCCATTAATTCGACGGGTGGAAATTCCCAAACACCTTTGGACAGTTGGGGCAGGTTTTGATTCTATTACGCTCGATTACCAGCCCAAAGGATCTTGTGATGATGTTTTTGTGTACATCACAAACGTCTTTGATAACACCCTGGTTGTTTATGATTACAAGCGCGGGGAGTTCTGGTCTTTTGCCGATGCTTCGATGAAGCCTTACTTATCAGAAATTTCTTTTGACTTTGAAGGGGGCCTTTATGAGTTGCCATTGGGAATAGTTAATTTGGCTCTTGGGTATCCAGACAAGGATGGTGATAGAAATGCATATTATTCTGCTAGTGGAAGCACTGTTGAATACGTTGTCACAACAAAGCTCTTAAAGAATAAGAGAGCTTCTTATAAATATAATTCTCAGGATTTCACCCTTATTGGCAATCGGGGCTGCGGATCTCAAGCTTACAAACAAATTTTCGATCCGGGAACGGGAGTTATATTCTTCGGTGAGGTGAATTCGCACAAAATACGATGCTGGAATACTCGTCTTCCTATCAATCCAGACACAATGGGAACTGTATTTGAATCTGACCTTTTGTTATATCCTTCTGACATGTATTTAGATTCGGAAGGCTACCTTTGGTTCCTTTGGAATCATCTTCCGACTCTGTTCGTGACTGAGAATTCATTAGATACAACTGAGGTTAATTCTCATTTATTCCGCTTGAAGGCATCTGAAGCCATTAAAGGAACAATTTGTGACAATAATATTCGCTTGTAATAGATAGTTAAGCTCTGAAATACCACAAATGCCACTGATGGAATAGAAAAAAAGATCACTCTGCAACTATCATTATATCCACAGCAAGAACAAATAAAAGATCGAATGAATTTTCAATAAAAAATCTGATTGAATATAAACATTGATTAATTAATTGGATCCAACAGTCATTTCACGCTATTTCCTACTTCAAATCAATTAATGCTTTCAAAACAGAGAGCCTTTTCTCATTTCTCTCATTCGCCGCAGCTCGAAAGGCAAGAAGAACCATAAATTCTTACTGTTATCCCAGCGAAAATGCAAATTCTCTGAGAATTTCGGAGATAGTCATTAATCTGCATAAAATATCGCGTCACGGCAAAGTGTTCATCACTTGGATTCCGTTAGTATAAAAGTCGAGAAAGCCGCAAAGAGAGAATTAGTTCTCCAGTGTCTTTCCAATGGCGAAGATCTTTAGTGTGTTTTGGGCTCTTTTTGCATGCCTTTGCGCCGTTGGAGGTCTCAAAAATGGTTTCGAAAGAGTGTTTTTCTGGAAAGAAGTCATTTATGAAGATCTTCCATATCCAGGTAGTGTTCGAAATATGAAATTGTGAATCATCTACAGAAGTGCTTATTCCAGCTGATACGCTCATTGGACCGTATCCGTACCACATTCCTAGCAATAATGACGTGATGGGAATCAATCACCACGCCGCAAGTGGATTAATGATCACAACTGTAGCGAGGCTTCGCGCAGGAGTTCCATCAACTCTGAATGCCTTTTGCTTAGCCGATTACCAGCAAGGTACGAGTCCTCATCTTTGGGGTTTTCCGAACTACGACAGAAACACCCTTCAAGCATCGTTCTACAATGAAGGACGAAAAGGGCATCACAACAAGAATAAGTATTCTGGTGGATATTACAACCATTTCTATGGCGGTTACAATCGCGACAATGATTACACAATTGTCAGCACATATTTTCCAAATGTCGATGAACGATGCAATCGTCTGTTTGTTGTCGACACTGGAGATCTCTACTATTCGCCATCAATTAGCTATAATGTCCAGAATCCGGCACTTCTTGTTTATGAGCTTCCTGCGAATGGATGTCAAACGCGTAATTTCCCATTAATAAGACGCGTTGAAATTCCCAATCATCTCTGGAACATTAAACTTGGCTTAGATTTCATCAACTTCGATTATCAGTCTAAAGGCTCTTGCGATGATGTCTTCTTGTACATCACTAATGACTCTGACGGCGTTCTAATTGTCTATGATTACAAACGCGGAGAATTCTGGTCTTTTGATGATGTTTCCATGAAGCCGGTTCAAGCCGAAAGATTCGTTACTTTTGAAGATAAAGTATATGAGTTCCCATTGGGAATAGTAAGTGTTGGTCTTGGATATCTAGATAAAGATGGCGATAGGAATGTTTACTTTGGCACTGGTTCAACTGAAGCTGAGTACTTAGTCAGCTCAAGGGTGCTTAAGAACAAGAAGGCATCCTACTCTTCCAATCCAGATGATTTCAAACAAATTGGCTATCTTGGATGCAATACTCAAATCTTCAAGCACGTCTTCGATCCAACAACAGGAGTGATTTTCTTCGGCGAAACGAATTCGAAGAGAATCAGCTGCTGGAACACTAAACTTCGTCTCAGTCCAGACACAACTGGAGTTGTTTTGGAGTCAGATCTTCTGCTATTCCCGGCTGACATGTATATTGATTCGGAAGGTTATCTCTGGTTCCTCGGAAATCATATGCCTCTTATATATTTAACTGAAGATCCTCTAGATTTAACCAATGTCAACTCCAATGTACTTCGCGTGAAGACAACTGATGCCATCAGAGGAACTGTTTGTGACGTACAAAACACCTATAATTATTAAAGTGTAATAATTTTGACTATAAATAAAGCATAGAATAATTTAGTTATTCATTTTTTACAACCATTGATGCTAATAAAAATCACGATTCCTAATTTAAATTACAGATTCGTTTAATTTCCTCTGCATTCTTCTTGAGGATAAGCAATGAAAGCAAATAAATCTTTTACCCCAGCAAAAGAAATGTGCTTTATTACACCATTTGGGAATGTTAATAAATACAGAATGCAAAATCTGGAGGACCGGTTTCTTGAAACTGTTTCTGATCATCTGCAATTTGCAATAGCTGTGCCTGCAGTATAAAAGTAAAAGAAATCTCTGGGGAAGACTCAGTTTGTAAGTGGTACAACGATGGAACGGAACAATTTGCGGATATTTCTTTTACTCTTTGTGTGCTTTTTGGTTGTTAAAGGTGCTAAAAAGAATGGAATAGAAATGATGTTTTACTGGAGGGAAGTTATATATGAGGATTTACCTTTACCTGGTAAATGAATCAAGAAATAAGTGTTTTCTTCAACTCAATTATAATTCGTTGTGATTTATCGCAGATGACACAGTTATTGGGAAATATCCATATCACATTCCTGCTAATAACGATGTCATAGGACTGGCTTATCACGCCAAACGACAATTAATGATTGCTACTGTTGGGCGTCTTCATCCAGGAGTTCCATCATCACTCAATGCATTCTGTGTAAATGATTATTACGTCGGGACAAGTCCTCATCTCTGGGCATTTCCTAATTACGAGAAAAACACTATCAAGGCGTCTTTCTACGACAACACACAAATAGACAGTCGAAAGCTGCATAAGAAAGGAGAGAAGTATTCTTCTGGATACTACAATCATTTCTACGAAGGCCAAGCAACTTATCCTGCAGAGAATTCCCACAATACACTGGAAGATTTCTCCATCATTTCAGTGTATCATCCAGTCATGGACGAACAGTGCAATCGACTTTTTGTTATCGACACGGGAAATCTCTATTACGGCCCCAATGAAATTTACGCAGTGCAAAATCCTGCACTTATCGTCTTCAGAATAACACCTGAGACAACACGAGGTTGGAATGGATGTGGCAGCCGAGAATTTCCAGTGATACGAAGAGTGGAAATACCAAATCATTTGTGGACTGATGCAACAGCTTTCGCCTTCTTAACACTTGATTTCCAGCCAAAGGGTTCTTGCGATGATCTCTTCGTGTACATTACTAATGTCTACGACTTCACTCTGACGGTGTATGATTACAAACATAACAGTTTTTGGGCCTTCAAAGATCCATCAATGAATCCTATCATCGCAGAATCTAGTATGATTTTCAGCGATTATTTGCATTACGATTTTCCCTTTGGCATCACAAATCTCGCTCTCGGTCGACCTGATAAAGAAGGTAATCGTAATGCTTATTATGGTCCTGCTGCCTCGACCGCAGAATACGCAGTGTCCACAAATATCCTGAAGACCCCACCAAAACGTACCTCCAATAAAAACAAAGGGGATTTTACTCTGCTCGGAAATCGCGGCTGCAATACTCAAGTCTTCAGCCGTACAATTGATCCTCACACTGGAGTGATTTTCTTCGGTGAGACACAATCCAAGAGAATTCTGTGCTGGAACACGCAATATCCACTAAATCCGGACACAATTGGAGTAATCTACGAGTCTGACGCTCTTCAGTTTGTCTCAGAAATATTTATGGATGCGGAAGGATATCTTTGGTTCCATTCTAGCCATCTTCCGCTCTTCCTCCTCCCAGAAATACCTCTGGACATAACCGATATCAACTCCAGAACATTCCGCGTCAAGGCATCAGACGCTATCAGGGGAACAGTTTGTGACGTCCAAAGAAGCTATCAATATCATGTTCTCAAAGATGTTTTTGGTTATAAATAAAGAATTGAGGAAATTGATAATCATTGAATTGTTTGCCTTCTAATTAAGGTGGATATCTGCGCCTGTCGGAGCTTACATAATAAAGAGAGCTTCTTGTGAAGACTAATTCAGATTAATTTTAATGTGACGTCTTTATGAATATCATTAAGGTGAAAAAATATGTAAATTCGACAGTCTTCTGAGAGAGAGAGAGAGAAAGAGATCATCAACCTTAAACCACTACAATGTATCAAAGTGTGTATAAAAATATATAATCTATTCAGTTAAGAAACTGTAAATCTGTGTAAGAATTCTTATAAAGCGATCCTTGCTTTTCTGTATAGAGAAATACAAATTGAAGAAGAAATGTTATCAAACATTTTAATGAACCATTAAGAATATTACTTTAGCAGATACTTAAGAATCTCGCTCTCCGTGTTGAATGTAAATAATATAACATATATTTAGCGAATAAAAGTCCATTTACGAATTTAAGATGTATCTCTCCAAATAGGCTGTTCAATATGTAAATCATGAAGAGACGAAATCGCTCTTGGATTTGTCAGTCAGAGAAAGTTCTCGACGTATAAAAGTGCGGGGAAACGTGGAAAAGAGATCAGTTATAAGACAAAGTGAGAATGGAACTGAGCATTGCAAGTGTGTTTTGGATTCTCCTCGGCTGCTCTTATCTCGTCAAAGGGCATTACAGTGGTGGAGTGGAGTTAATGTACTTTTGGAGTAGAGTGAAGTACGACAATCTTCCCCTTGACGGTGATTTGTGCGCTTCTAGCATGCGATAATAGCTTCAAATCATCTAATAAGTGTGAATCATTGCAGAAAATTCATACATCGGGAATTATCAGTATTACATTCCCTCCAACAATGATGTTCTCGGTGTTGAATATCACGCGCGAAGTAGATTAGTTCTGGCCACTGTTGGACGTCTTAGACCAGGAGTTCCGTCCACACTCAATGCCTTCTGCTTGGATGATTATGCCAAAGGCACGAGTCCTCTTCTCTGGGGCTTTCCAGACTACGACAAGAACACTCTGAGGGCGTCCTTTTACGGGAATGAACACTACGACATTCGGGAGTTGGACAGGAGTAATAAGTACTCCTCGCCAGAATATTACGGCCACATTTACAACAGCCATCGTCATAAGCCAAGCGCGTACTATGATTACCCGGAAGACTTTTCCATCATCTCAACATATCGTCCAATTGTGGATGATAAGTGCAATCGACTCTTCCTACTCGACACCGGATTGTTACACTATTCAAGTAGTGAAATCTACACTGTGCAGAATCCCGCTTTTATCGTGTTTGAATTGCCAACAAATGGATGCGAGACCAGGACATTCCCAGTCATTCGCCGTGTGGAGATTCCCAGAAGCGTTTGCAAGGACCCTCTGGGACTCATCTACGTCACTCCTGATTACCAGTCGCGAGGAACTTGCGATGATGTCTTCTTGTACATCACGAGTGCCTTTGAGAGCACTCTGATTGTTCACGATTACAGGCGCGGCACTTTCTGGTCATTCACTGACTTCTCCATGAGACCCGTCATGTCCCAGTCGGACCTGATCTTCCAACCGAACTTCCCCTACGAATTCTCACTGGGAATCATGAATTTGGCTCTCGGATATCCAGACAAGGATGGCAACAGGAATGCTTACTTCGCTCCCGGCGCCAGCATTGGCGAGTACATTGTGTCCACGAAGCTGCTGAAGAACCACAAGCACGGCGCCAAGTTCTCCCGAAGCGACTTCACACTCATCGGCTTTCGTCCCTGCGACTCGCAGTCAATGCGACAGATCATTGATCTCACCACTGGCGTGATATTCTTTGCTGAGATGCAATCCAGAAAACTCCGCTGCTGGAACACACGACTTCCACTCAGTCCGGACAACGTTGGCGTTGTCTTTGAGTCAGATGATCTGCAATTCGTGTCAGAGATTTCCCTCTCACTGGATGGATACATTTGGTTCCACTCCTGCCACCTTCCCATCGTATTCCTCAGCGACATGCCTCTGAGCAAGAAAGAAGTCAACTCGAGAACATTCCGCGTGAAGGCATCAGAAGCCATTAGAGGAACAGTTTGTGATATTTCGAATTCGCCACGAGAACTCACATCTTCACACGAGTCTGATGATGACTAAAAGCCTCAGAACGATATTATGACATTAGAATAAAAGCTTATTATCATATCACTCGTAAGAGACATGTTGAGGCTTCGAGATGTAATAAAAAATTCAGTTCAAATACTTTTCCTATCTCAAAATGCTAATTTATTACCTTAAATTCTTGAGGGTGTTTGATGACAACTTGTTTGAAAAGGAGTGAATGTCTTTCAGGAGTATAAATACGGCGACGAAGACAAAGACAGAGTCAGTTTGGTGAAGTCTTTCGAGATGAGTACTATTTTCATAGTGATTTTGGCAGTTTTCTCGTGTTTGCGCAGCACTAAAGCAGCAACAGAAACTTATTATTGGCGGAATGTGATTTATGAGAATCTGCCTCTTTCTGGTGATCCAAAAGGATTCAAGAAGTGTTATCCATTCAGTAACTAAAGTGATTCTTTTCAGATGACACCCTAATTGGACCATATCCTTATCACACTCCCGAAACCAACGACGTCCTCGGAATTGATTATCACTTTCAGAGTGGAATATTTATAGTGGCCGTTGGACGCCTCAGACCTGGAGTTCCGTCCAACCTGAATGCCTTCTGCATTGGGGATTATGTCGAAGGATCGAGTCCTCATATTTGGGGCTTTCCGAATTACGACAAGAACACTCTGAAGGCGTCCTTCTATGACGAGAGTTTCCGCATTGGGAGAAAACGCAACAAATATACGTCCAGCAACTACACTGAAGTGCAATCAGCGTCGAATTACTTCAATCCACTCAATGACTACAACATAATTTCAGTGTATCATCCAATTGTGGATAGTCAGTGCAATCGTCTCTTCATCCTCGACACAGGAGTTCTGCGCTATGGACCCTCTCTTACGTATAGCGTGCAAAATCCTTCAATCTTAGTGTATCAATTGCAAGCCAATAGTTGTATTACTCGCAACTTTCCACTGGTTCGTCGAGTGGAAATCCCGAATTATCTGTGGAAACTCGCCGCGGGATTCGGCTACATAACAGTGGATTACCAAGAAAAGGGCTCTTGCGACGATGTCTTCCTGTACATAACGAATGCCATGGATGCCACCGTGACTGTCTATGATTACAAACACGGAGAGTTTTGGCAGTTTGCAGACGAGACAATGAAGCCTATTCTCACTGATGCTCACATGGTGTTCAACAAAGACTACAATTATGATCTTATTCTTGGAATAATGAACGTTGTGCTTGGATATCCGGACAAAGACGACAATCGGAATGCTTACTTCGCCCCTGCCGCCAGCATTGGCGAATTTGCCGTCTCCACGAAACTCCTGAAGAAGTCAAAGAGAGCAAACAAGAATTACAATCCGGAGGACTTCAAACTTCTGGGCTATCGCGGCTGCAATTCACAAAATTTTCGGCAATTCTTCGATCACACAACTGGCGTGATATTCTTCGGTGAGATGCAATCAAACAAGGTTCGATGCTGGAACAGCAAATTGCCTCTGAATCCCGATAATATTGGCATCGTCATGGAATCAGATAAAATTCAGTTCATTTCGGAGATTTTTGTGGACTCCACTGGAGTTCTGTGGTTCCTCACCAATCAACTTCCCATCATCTTCCTCAGTGACATTCTTCTAGACACTGAACAAGTCAATTCACGGGTTTTTCGCATAAAAGTATTGGATGCCATCAAGGGAACAGTTTGCGATATTTACCAATAGTTTCCGCAGTTATTGAATAAAAAGATCATCAAATTTACTACTTTGTGTTTTATTTCTTTTCTCATCAAGCAGCCAAACTCCTAAATCAGATGAACAGCAATATTTTTCTCACTTTGTGACACCAGATAAATCGATGTGTTTATGCTAAAGACTAGATATCTCCATAGAAGAAAAAAAAAAACAGATAACAAATTACTACCAAATTTTAACCATTCAGCGATTCCACGTGAAATATCTCATTAATAGTATGTGATTTATTAAAGTTCTCTAAATAGTACGAATTCTAATGTCGAAGACCTCATTCAGACCCAATCTAAAATAGACAATTTAAACACATTCTTAGATATGCAAATTCAACTTGTTTGTGAGATTCTTTCTTCGGTTATAAAAGTACCACAACAGCAAGAGGAAAGTCAGTTTTCTCAGGAAGGTAGAGAGATGAAATTGAACTCTTCAATAGTATTTTGGACAAACTTGGCACTTTTAAGCTGCCTTTGTGTTTTTAGCGACGCAAAGAAAGAAGATGTTGAACTTGTGTACTATTGGCGAGACGTTATTTACGAGGATTTACCGATTAATGGTGAACATCTTGCATTTACAACACTCATTTAGCAACTCAAGTGCACTGCTGCTTTGCAGAAAACACACTTATCGGCCCGTATCCTTACTACATTCCCGGCAGCAATGATGTGCTCGCGATTGGTTATCATGAGCAAAGTGGACTTATGATTACCACCGTTGGACGCATTCGACCGGGAGTTCCATCTGTGCTCAACGCCTTCTGCGTAAGTAATTACGCCAAAGGCACAAGTCCTCACATTTGGGGATTTCCTGACTACGACAAGAACATGCTGAAGGCGTCTTTCTACGGCAACAGCGCGGAAGACGATTCGCGGAAATTGGTTAGGAAGAAACACAAGTATTCTTCAGGGTATTTCAACCATTTCTACAATGTTTACGGAGCCGAGCGTCCTTACAATCCCCTTGAGGATTTCTCCATCCTTGAAATTTACGGTGTTCTTGTGGACAATCGCTGCAATCGACTTTTTGTTCTTGACGTTGGCACAATACGATACAGTGATACTGAAATCTACATCGTTCAAAATCCCGCAGTTATTGTCTTTGATTTGCCATCTGATGGATGCACAAATCGAAAGTTCAGAGTCATTCGCCGCGTGGAGATTCCTCAGCATCTTTGGAAGAATGCTTTGGGATACACTTTCGACATTTTAGATTACCAGTCGAAAGACTCTTGTGACGATGTCTTTATGTACTCAAACAACATCTTCGACAACAGTGTTCTTGTCTACGACTACAAACACAATGAATTCTGGACATTTGCGCATCCTTCCATGAATCCCATCACAGCCGAGGCAACCTTGTTCTTCGCCCCCAAAGATTTTTACTGGACATTCTTCATGGGAATCATGAGCATAACACTCGGACGGCCAGACAAGGATGGTAATCGCAACGCTTACTACGCTCCTGGCGCCAGCACAGGAGAATACTTAGTCTCCACGAAGCTCCTGAAGAATCGCAAACGAGCGCCGTCAAACTTCAATCCCAAGGACTTTAAGCTCATCGCTCATCGCGGATGTGAAACTCAAACTAATCGCAGAGTATTTGACCTCAGAACCGGTGTGATGTTCTTCGGGGAGATGCAGTCAAAGAGACTGACGTGCTGGAACACAGAAAATCCCCTCAATCCAGACACCCTTGGCGTGGTGTTTGAATCAGACGCAATTCCATTCATCTCAGACATGTTTATAGACTCAAATGGATATCTTTGGTTCCTCGCCGATAATCTTCCCTTCATGTTTCTCTCTGACCAACTCCTGGACACATCTGAGATCAACTCCCGACTTTTCCGCGTCAAGATAAGTGATGCTATTAAGGGAACTGTGTGCGATATAACCAGATATAGTCCGCGAAGAGTCTTCTTTCATGGAAAGTAAATTAATAATGGAGCTGAAACAAATACACATGTAAAAATGTGTAAAAATAATGCATAAATGTATTAAAATATTGTAATAAAATTTATTATCAAATTTCTAAATTGTTCGACAAATCTTGACCCAATGACACCATCCTCCTTCCAAGATGCAGACAAAACCAATAAAAATTATACGACAAATGACATCCTAAATGGGATTGCTTGTCACTCATAAATTCACTAGAATTTGTGTGTTTGTTTTCATCAGAAAACCAGTTTAAGTCCAACATACCGATGAAGTGTGCAAAATATTAAGTTTGGTATAAAAACGCAAGAATATTTTGGAAAAGACAGTTTATCCGCGTCTGCAAGATGAAGACGAGTGTTTTGCAAGCATTCCTTGCACTTCTTTCGTGTAAAAGTGTTGTGAATGGTTTTAAAAAAGATACAGTGAAAGAGATTTTCCACTGGAAGAATGTCACCTTTGAAAATCTACCCTTTGACGGTGATCAATTGTGTTCTAGTTTGTGTATAATTACTACAATTACTATTTGTGATTTATTTCAATAGAAAACGCCTTCATTGGAAAGTATCCCTATTACATTCCCTCAAATAATGACATCCTCGGTATCGATTATCACGCCAACATTCAAATTATGTTCGCCACTGTTGCACGCGTGCGACCCGGAGTTCCGTCAACATTGAACGCATTCTGCACAAGTGAGAATTTCGGCTACGAAGCAACAAGTCCCAGTGTCTGGGGCTTTCCTGATTACAAGAGGAACACTCTAAAGCCATCCTTTTACGGCAGCACATCGTATGGCATTCAAAAGTGGCAAGAGAGGATTTTCACGAGTCCTAACGAAGACTTTAGGATCATTTCTGTGTACAAACCTTGCGTCGACAATCGGTGCAATCGCCTTTTTGTGATTGACACAGGAGTTTTGCACTACTCAACTTATGAAGTTTACAATGTGCAAAATCCCGCACTGATTGTCTTTGAATTGCGATCAAACAGCTGCAAAAGTCGACATTTCCCAGTGATTCGTCGCGCAGAAATACCCAAACATTTATGGCGAAATCCCGTGGGTTTTGTCTACATCACTGTTGATTTCCAAGCTAAGCAAACGTGCGATGATGTCTTCATCTACATCACCAACGCCTTCGACAACACAATAACCGTCTACGATTACAAGAAGGAGAGCTTTTGGACATTCAGTGATCCTTCAATGCGTCCAATCATTGGCGAATCGGTGAAACTTTTCGGCAACGCATTTCACTACAAATTGCCACTTGGAATAATGAACTTGGCTCTCGGATATCCAGACAAGAACGGGCATCGCAATGCATATTTCTCACCTGGCAGCAGTTTTGCTGAATACATTGTGTCAACGAAACTCCTGAAGAATGCCAAGCGAGCCCCAAACAAGAACACTTCAGGCCTGTTTACCCTCATTGGTTATCGCGGCTGCAAGTCTCAATCCATGCGGCAGATTATTGATCTCTCAACTGGCGTGATGTTCTTCGCCGAGATGCAATCGAAGAAAGTTCGCTGCTGGAACATTCAGAATCCCATTAATTCTGACACAATTGACGTGATTCACGAGTCAGACGATCTACAGTTTGTCTCGCACGTCACTCTGGACGCTAAAGGATATCTATGGATCCTCGCCAATCATCTTCCCATCATTTATCTCACAGACATTCCTCTCAACACAACCAACACTAATTCCAGGCTGTTTCGCGTAAAAGCTTCAAAAGCCATCAAAGGAACTGTTTGTGATGTGGTTTAACGAGAATTAGATTTCTTAGCTTATTGGCAAAGGATTAACAACAAATAATGTGTATTAGAAAATAAAGATAATTGTACTTTACAGTCTATTTTCTCAGGAATATTAAGCAGAAAAGAATTTCCGCAGTGTCTTTGACGCCATGTCTTTCCTTTCTTAGCAACTGCGACTCTTTGGCTCTTTCTTGGGTCTTAGAGTGCGAAAAATCACGAGAAAACGTGTAAATAGCATAATATGGAAAATTCTCCAAAAGGCAAGAAAACGTGTCCACTCACGTCGAAAGCTGCGAGGAGAAATGACCAATGAAAATGCATCTTCGTTGAGTTTCCCCACCGCGACCCAATAGCGAATGTTCGCCGACTCCAAGCGAGAGAAAGTTGAGGAGAAATTGGTCTAAATTCTCACGTGGGTGGGATTTTTTTCCCCCACCTTTTGGTCGTCGCTCTCTCACGTGGACAATTCGTGAGAGGGAGAGCGGAATCCAGTATTCTCTGAGAGAGTGAGAAAGGCGAATGCAGAGATTTGACGTCGTCAAGTTGCACAAATTCATGTGAAATTTCGTGAGAAGTGTGTTCTTGAGGCATTTTCGGCACTGAAATTCCCTCAAAATTCTCAGTGATTATCAAAATTATCCTTGTTGTGCATCTCAAGCGTTAGTGAGTGGAGATTAGTGATTTGGTGAGTTGTTGCTGGTGAAAAATGCCCTTGAAGTGCACAAGGATGATTTTCACGGTCTTTTCACAGTGAATCTTCGAATCCGTCTTTCCTGCCCAGAAAATGGCTCCTGGCAATCAAATTGTGGATTTCGGCGATGAATCGCACGGCTCGCGTCTGGCGCGGAAGACCAAAGAGGCTCCCTTTATGCCAATCGGTGAGATTAAGCCAGATGATTGCCTGTTATCTAACAAGCAACGCTGACCTTGATGCTCTTGGCGTGAACTTCTGCACGTCCTCCACTGAAATCTCTCGCTGTTGCAGGTATCGCGGGCTTCCTGATAGTGGGCGCCATTGGGGCGTACAAGTATCGCCACCGTGGCTCGATGAGCACCAGTGTTTTTCTCATGCAACTCCGCGTGGCGGCGCAGGGCACGGTCGTGGGGGCCTTGACCATCGGGCTGGCCTACACGATGGCCAGGGAGTACCTGTTTCCGCTGCTAGATAGCAAAGACAAGGGCGAGGCCAAGTGAGGCGTCTCCGGAGAGTGAATTAGCGAATTTCTGTCTGAACCGTGAGTGCCGCAAAGGCGCCCCACGAATTGACGAGTGGATGGATGAGAAACACTTGAGAATGAATGCTTTAGAGTATATAGAAAATGCCCGTGATATCAATTCTCATAAAGTGTATTTATTCCCATTTGACATTGTGAATGAGAAAATACAGTAAATTCTATTTTTGTGGTGTAAACAGGCGTTTTCCTTGAGACAGTGCCCCAATTTCCTCTTCGACGAGTTCTTTGATCTTGACGAAGAGTCATAAAGTGTGGTTATGTTGACACTCTCGGACGTTTGATGAGGATTCTCGAGGAAATATAGAGGAAAATGATGAACAATTGGAGAGTGGCAGACTACAAGACGAATCATGAGCCTGAGGAGCACTGGAAACTGCGAAAAGCCTTCATGATGAAGCACAAGAGAGACATTCCGGAAGATGAACTCGTTTGTTTGGCCCAAATAATGATCAACATAGAGTTTCTGGGCTGCCGGTGAGGACATCCTTGGTATTCACGTATCTCTATCATTGTTGAAGTGTTCTTGGATGTTGTTTCAGCTACTCCAGGGAAGTGACGCTACGAATTGAGGAGTTGGCAAAGGATCTTCTGGCAGATGTGCGACAGAAGCGAAAGAATCGCCTCCGGAGAACCTTCGTGGGCGCCTCTGATGCCGCTTCGGCCAAAGTCAAAAGATCTAGTTTAGCAGACACTCTGAAGAGACCCACAAACACCTCAGAACCGCCCTCGAAGAAACGCTTCCAGGAAGAGTCCGTAGACTTCACGTCAAAGTACGGCAAGATCATCATTTACGATCCTTCCACGGACAATTTTCAGCAATCAGCCGCTTCCCTGATGCAGATTCTACGCGCAAAATGTGGAGCTGCGGTCGTGGAACAGCCCAGCATGCTGGGCGACAGCTTCCGGACGGTGATTTTGGTGAATGGACAAGTTGCCGGTCAAGCGGATTCTTCCAGCAAGGCGTCGTCGAAGAAGGAAGCGTACGAAGATGCGCTGGCTGAACTCAAGAAGCACTGCTTCACGCTACGCGTCAAGAATTCCTTCCTGTCGGAGGGCAACGAGACGATCAGGAAGCCCGAAGAGGGCGCAGAGAAGAAGACTGAATCGCAGAAGCTCGGCGAGGAGAATCTGGGCTTCAAGCTGCTGAAGTCGCTGGGCTGGAAAGGAGGCAGTCTGGGCGCGAATAATCAGGGAATCTTGAATCCTGTGGAGCTGTCTGTGAACATTGGGCGCCAGGGACTCGGCGCCAACACAAACACAGACTATTACAGGAGCATCCTGAGGAACTACAAGAACACCGTCACTCTCTATGATCTCGTGTTCACCAATGAGTTCAACAGCGACGAGCGCGCAATCCTGCACAGGTGATTTTCTTTGATCCCTCGAAGCTTCCTTAAGAAAGCGTGAAATCATGGTTTTTTGCAGACTCGCCAGTCAACTGGGCTTAAAATCCAAGAGTTACAGCAAGAATGAGGATCGACACCTGGTCATCAGTAAAAAGATAAGCCTATTTGATATGGCGAAGGATATAATTGAGCAGAGAGATCCTGCTCTCATGGAGAAGTTCATCCTAGTTCCACCAGAATCGCCAGATTTATAATTTTGACGCTAAGCAAGTGGGAAGAAAATATTCGTTTTTTATTCTGGAGGAAAAGCGTGGAGAAAATTGATTTTCAAAAACATCGTTTCAGCGCCAAACGAAAACTTGCCGAAGGTTGACATAACCTCAAGTTCACCTTGTCAAATTTATGTTTACATTCCGCGGCGTTTACTTTTGTGTCTTTTGTGAAAAAAAAACCCTTGAAAATGGATTTCCCTACAAATTGGAAGGTCGAGGACTACAGAACAACGTACGAGAGCGACGAGCATTGGCAATTGAGGCGCAATTTTATGGAGACGCACAAGGAAAAGTTCCCAGAAGATGAGCTCGTGTGTTTAGCGCAGACATTCACAAATGTGGAGTTTCTGGGCTGCCGGTGAGATTCTGCGTCGCACAACCTTCCCAGGATCTGCCTTATAATGCTTTCTCCTTAATTTCCTTGCTAGATATCCCGCTGAGACGATGAGGCTCGTGGCAGAGCTGTCAAAGGACGTGGCGAAAGAGTTCCGGAAGAAGAGAGAATCGCGCCTCAAGAGGACCTTTGTGCAGGCCTCAGACGCTGCCGAGGCGAAAGCCAAGAGAGTTAGGAAGTAAATTTATTCAGCACTGATCTGGGATTGCTGCCGGCGTCGGATTTGCTGGAAGAGACGCTTGGAAGCGGCTCTAATGAGTTGGTTCGGTGAGTTCAGCAAATCTTCCCAGGAAATTTGATCGATCTGCAAGAAGTGGGCAATTTTTGAATAAACGGGGTGTTTTTTGTAAGAAAATAGACAGAACCTTGTGCGAGAGTCTCTCAAATTGTCCGCTGGACAGATGGTCATCGATGGTGTTGAAGAGCAGGATGATCGACATGTATTGCAGATCAATTTTGCCCAAGAAACTCACGTAATCCACGATCTGCTCCATCACAGTCAAGTGGTTCTGGATGATGCGCACAGCTGCGTCTTCCAGACTCATGTCGCAGAGGAATTTCAGGAAGATCCTGTAAGAATTCAGGGATGATTGGAAAAACAGTTGGATGGGAAACCCAGAAACTCACCCAATGAGCTGAATTTCGCGCGGATATCGCAGCCGACAGAGGAGATTGAGGAAGGTCTTGAGCAGGAAATGTGTCTTCTCGTGATTCATCACGATCCTGCGTCCGCTCTCCTGGGCGGCGATATGTCCCACTACAGAAGTGGCGGAGCAGACGAATTTGTAGTTATTGCTGGGCATATTCTCGCGCTCGTGGACGCTGTTGAAGTACGATATCAGCGTGCGCTCCACAAACTTGAAGTACACTCGGATTTGGGCTTCAAATCCCTCGATCAGGCGACTCGTGTTGCTGTCTTCTTGCGTCAGGACGCTGAGGAGTTCCGTGATGCAGCATCCCATGGAGATGAAGGACTTGTTGCTGCTCTCCATCTGCTTGCGCACCTCTATCAGCTCCTTTTGGGCATTCTCAGGCGTCGTAGGGCCCTGAATTCCTTCATTTGGTGGCTCTGAAGCGCTTTTCTGTCCCACAATGACTGATTTCACCTTCGCATGGAGAGACTTCGTGAGGGCAGAAATCTTCGCGTAATCCTCATCAAGCAGACGCTTTCTTTCAGTCCCCTCTACGCCTTGTTGTGCGGCAATCTCCAGCAGATCAGCCACATTTCTCGAAAGCTCCTTGAGAATCGGCGAAATGTCTTCCTGCAAGGCATTGAAGAAACCCATAAAAATGACCATTTTACACATTCGGGAAGCTATTTCTCACCGAATATTGCCTCTCCTCCTCAATCACCTTCCGATACAGCTCTAATTTCTTATCCATGGTAAAGAAAATCTCAGAAAATAAGCAAAAATCAAATTTTGTACGTCGTTTTCCCAGTAATTTTGTTTCTCATTCTCCCGCCAGGCGGCTTCGTTCGCTTCGTTCAGCGCCTAATTACCAAATTGCGAATCGGAAAGAAATTCAGTGGATCGTCGAAGGAAATTTCTACGTAATAAAATAATTTATTGAGAGAATCGAAAGAAATTTCAGTATTCAAAGCACAAATTGAGCGTCTAAAAAAGTGTTTCAGCCATAAAATTGTATAATTTCAATAGTGCTTTTGAATTACAATGGATTTTCTGAGTGTTCTTGGAGAACTCTGTGGATTTGTCTGTTTCGTCGACAGACGATTTTTTATTTAGGCGATGTTTTCGATATTTGCGCCTTTTTGCGGCGCGCCAAATTGGTCTGTGGAGCCACATTTCGGGACTTTTCTCTTGGGAAATCCCAGAGGACGGCGAGAAAGCACACAAATAGTGATTGTAAATTTTATTTTGACGAGAAAAACGACAAGTCGCAGAGAGAAACTGTCAACAACAGAGATAAGGCGCCTGATTGAGTAATTAATTCATTTTCGCGTCAATCCGGAGGTCAAGGGGTCACGCCTGCAAATGCCAGGGAAAATGGGTGCCTGTGAAATTACCATTTTTCGCCCGAAAACTGACAGCTTAATTGTTTGCACTGCCAACTAATGGACGGAGATGTTGAGAGAATAAACCTTGGTCAATTATCACGGTGGCTTCATTCGCTTTTATTGAGCAGAAGAGAGTGTTTCAGCGTCAAAAGAGCGCTGAAATAGTAAGGAAATGTTGCAAATGCGAGACGTTCGCTATCACCCTGTCGCGTGCGAACTGACCGCTGTTGATTTAATGGTATTTACACAATTTTTCGAATACATAATTTTGTAATTTATCATCTAGTCTTGCTCCTATTTGGCGATGACTTTGATTCTCTCCAGCTTCAGTCAGTTTGTAGCGATCGTGAGCTTAACATCGGCTTCTACAGCTTCAAAAGTGTGAAGTGTGCGCGAGAAAAGGTGATGAAAATCTCTGAGGAAAACCGCCTCACAAAAGGTTAACTTGTGAATCCACTTGCGCGCTCTTTCATTCATCGAATGTCTGGCAAAGTTTATCATTTCGTCCTTGTTTCAGACGCGTGCTTTTGTCGAAATCCTGGAGGAAATCCAATTTCACGTGAAACCTCTCAGACTCCCTCGGTTCGATCGATTGGCCATCATCAAAAGAATTCTATCGACGATGCAGACGGTTTTTTCCCTCCTTTTTCTGCACTTCCTCGTCGAGAGTTTGCGGGATTCCTCTCGAGTGACTCAACAAACACACTCTTCTCGACGTTTTCCTGCCGCATTTTCCCATTTTCCGCACTAATTGAAATGTTGTCTTGCACACAAAGTGTCTCAGTGAGATTTTTGCGCCACGAGCATGATAAAAATTCATCATAACATTTCTCTCAGCAGCGGAAAAGTGTCCAATTCCCTTCGTCCAGTTTTCCACTGTACTCGCGGAAATTGAATTTGGAATTGTGAAAAAGTCACACAAGTCGAAGAGGACTTTAAGATGTTCTCTTCTTTCCCCCAGAGAGAGAGAGAAGGCGAAAAGTTTCTCCTGAAGTTGCGTCACAGGTCAGATTGAAGATAAAAATTTTAAAGTCAATATCCATTTAGTGTTGGAAGTACTTCTCTGCCTTCAAACCTCTTTAACTCACACAATCTTCCGCCTTTTGGTGGCTTTCGACCCACTTTTGGCAACGCCGAACTTGATCAAATATTGGTCAAAAGTCTCCCCTCAAAACTTGGCGTGTTGCAGATTAACAGCAATTGTTGAAAAGCCCCTGAAGAGGCCAACATCTCAGCGCTTATCAGAATCAAATATAAACTTCAAAACTCACAGCAATTGACGGAGATTGCGAATAGCGCAGAGCGGGGTTGTTTTGGTCTGGATTTCTTTCAAAATTACTCTGTGTTCAATTTTCCCACAATCAATAGAACGATTCAACGGAAGATTTCTAAACTTTTCACGTGAATAACTTCTCGAAAAAATAAAAAAAAAAAATAAAATAATAAAATAATAATAATAAAATAAGAAAAAATAAAATAATAAAATCTCATTTTTCTCAACACCTAAATCCATCTTTGCCCCCTAAGAAGCTCTGGGGGAATATTAAGAAGCTTGGACTGCGTCCGTCGGTGAATGCTTCTGTCGGTGTCACTCTCTCTGCAGATGACTTGAACAACTACTTCGCCTCTGTTGCTCTGGCCGATGAGGTGACCTGTCCTGCTCTTCCTGCCGCGCCCTGGGAGGGTTTTGGCTTTCGCTGTGTCTCCGAGGAGGCGGTTGCGGGTGCCATTTCCCGCGTGCGATCGGGTGCCGTGGGGTGTGATGGCGTCTCTCTTGCCTTCGTTAAAATCATTCTCCCGACTCTTCTCCCAGTGCTCACGGAGACCTTTAATCATATCATTACCACTTCCTCGTTTCCGGATACTTGGAAGCTTGCTTTAGTCATTCCAATTCCGAAAACCTCTAATCCCACTGCTCCTTCTGACTTCAGACCAATAAGTCTCCTTCCGACTCTATCCAAGGCTTTTGAAGCTCTGCTTCACTCACAAATCTCCTGTCATTTACTCTCTCATAATTTACTTTCCGACCATCAGTCTGGCTTCCGAGGTGGTCATGGAACTACTTCGGCTCTGCTCAAGGTTAACTATGACATTGCCTCCGCTTTAGATCGCAACTCCTTTGTTGTCTTGGTCTTACTAGATTTCACAAAGGCATTTGACAGCCTCCATCATGATCTCTTTTGCTACAAGCTTTTCAAGCACTTTAAATTCTCTTCTTCGGCTATAGCCTTGGTTCGATCCTACTTCCGTGATCGTTCTCAAATTGTTAAATTTGGAGAAAACACATCTTCTCCATCCACCCTAGGAAGGGGCATTGGTCAGGGATCCATTCTTGGTCCTTTGCTCTTCTCCATGTTCATCAATGATCTGCCCTCTGTCCTGCGTGGTTGCTCGTATCATTTGTATGCGGACGACCTCCAGATTTACGTTGAAGGTGATCCTTCAAACTCTTCCTGTGCTTTCACACTTCTAAATGATAACCTCTCCCGAATCGGGCACTGGGCCTCTTCAAATGGGCTTCGCCTAAATCCTAAAAAATCGCAGGCAATTATCTTCTCAAAAAGGAGTGCTAACTTTCCTTATTTCACCGTTCTTCTTAACGGTGAAGTTATCCCTTATGCGGATCAGGTTAAAAACCTTGGTATTGTCTTTAATTCGACACTATCCTGGTCTGATCATGCCACCTCCCTTTGCCGCAAGGTCAACTATTCTCTTTACGTCCTCAGACGCTATCGGGACATCACGCCCTACGACACTCGGTTGCTTCTCGTGCGAGCGCTAATTATGCCATTCTTCTCATATGGAGCAGAGCTATTCTTCCTGGCGGATAGTGACACACTCCGTCGGCTGACTGTAGCATTTAACAATTGTGTCAGGTACGTCTGCGGACTGGGTCCCCGCGATCACATTTCTGCCCACAGGGATGTGCTGGTGGGCTGCAGCCTGTCCTCCTTCCTGCAAATGCGAGCCCTGATTTTCTTAGATCGTCTTTCCATCAGCGGCTGCCCTGGATATCTGGCTTCACTCTTGACGAGGGGTGGTTCGACCAGGCTTCGGGGACTTCTTGTTCCTCGAGCTGAGCATGAGACCTTTTTCCGTACCCTCTTTGTCCGGGGGGTGTCGCTTTACAATGCCCTCCCGCGTGAGGCGCGCGAGACCGTCGGGGGCATCAGGAAGCACTTTCAGGCTGCTGAACTGGTCAGTGACCCATCATAGTTGAACGTTTTGAATACATTTTTTTTTTTTTTTTTTCTATTGTCTTGTCGATTCTTAGTCTTTGTTTTTCCGTTTTTTTTTAATTTCTCTTTAGCAAATTGTAAGAGGGGTAGGCCCTAAAAATTTTGCTCAATAAAATTGAATTGAATTGAATTGAAAAAATAAGGACGTTTCCTTTCTTTTTAGCCCATGAGTTTGGAAAAATAAATCTAAAACACACTGTCCAAAACATCCTCACTTTAGACTATATTCTGTGAGAAAAACTAATGGCATTTCTTTCATCTCAAATAAACTACAAAGCAATTAAATTCTCACTTCGCGAAGCCAGAATTCGAAGAAGCTCCGACTGAAAATTGAAAGAGCAAATTTGTTAACAACTTTGCGCTTTTCCCGCAAATTATATTTTCTTGTCTTTATGGCGGGTGTGAAGGAAAGTTTCCCATTTTCATTATAATCCTCACCTCAAGTTTACAACGTTGACCGCTATTCTTTTTTGATTATTTCTATCCGTAAAAGCTCCTTTAGGTGAATTAAACTATCCAAGTTATTATTATTGAACTTCCGTTCATCAATTTGATGAATTTTATGGTATAATTTATAATATGATCTTGCAATTTAAGAAATTTATGTGAAATTTTAAGAAATTGAAAAATTCAAAGAAAATGGACTGCAAATGTCTTTTCTTTATACAATTTTTATTAGTCTTTCTTCAATTGCAGTAAGATGTTGCTTTTTGCGTGCTTCTTTGAAGATCACCCTGTGACTTTCTCTGTTTTTTAGCGGACTTTTGAAAGTGCGATTGCTGGAAAAGTGGACGTTATCAGCGAGAGTCTCTGGAGAGATAAACGAGCGGCAGCTGAGTCTCAAGAGCCGATTGCGCCCGAAGTCAGCCACCAAATCCCACCATGAGCCACGCCAGAGCGCTGAGCGCGGCAGTTCTGCTGAGGTATTCGCGGACTGTGAACGTGTTCGCGGCGCGCGCAAGTCTAATCTTCCCTGCCTTCCAGCTTCGCTGTGCTCATCGTCCACGCAAGGGTCGTTCAGCCGCCCACGGAGATCCGACCACTGTCACGCGAGGAGCCCAAGACCAGAGCAAGGATGCATCCAGCGTTCGCGAACGCCGGCAGAGCCAAAGGACTCGAAATCTGGCGCGTTGAGGTAAAAGCGATCGCGAAAATAGAACTCATAGAGCACTTTCCATGGCGCGATAAATATGCAAATGTGTCTCGCGAGTGCGGGCAGTAAATTAGCCGTGCGATCGGCGGAAAAAAATCAGCACAGAATGCACGGCGGGAAATCCCACACGGTGAATGATCAGCGCAGATGAAGAAGTTATCAAAATACCACCAATCAAGGGGGAGTTATTTGGCCACAAAGTAGTTTAACTTTCCTTTCCAGAGCTCGCTTTTTTCTGTATTTATTGCCCAGAACACGATTGATTGGCAGTTAAACAATTTGTGGATAAAAGTTTGCATATATTCAAGTGAAAGAAATCAAGAAATCTTATTATGACTGAAAATTACATTAAGAAGTTAGTCAGAACTTTGGAAAAACCAACAGAGAAGCCAAAAATAGCTTTTTGCATTAATTCACTCGCTCTTTTTTCAAACAATAACCTTTTGCTTAAAGATTTGGCGAATCACACTAAACGAATTTGTATGTAAAACTATTTCAAAAAGTGCTGGCAATGAAAGAAGTGATGGAAAAATTGGCATTTTATCACCTGCCGCGAATGAAACTGATCGGAAGAAGCAATTTATTGTGTTCGTTGGGTGATTTTTTGTGGCGCGTCTCAGCGAGAGTCTCTCAAGATCATGGGAAAATGTTGCGTACACACGCAACAGCGACAAGGTGGAAAATTGCTACACGAGAAAGCGCCAACAATGCGATCGCGTTTTTTTTCCATGATAAATTGTTTCTACTCAGAAATTAATAATAGTTTTCAGGAAGACTTCTGAGTATTTTGGATCTGAGACATTTTTTTCGCTCGAAATTTATGTTATTTTCGAAATGTAGTTCAACGTACTTTGAATGAGTGTGTTGTTGCGAGGAAATCTGAGTCACTGGGGAAGTTTGGCTATTCATACATTATTCTTATTCAGATGCTTTGTTTAGAGGTGAAGTGAAAGAGAATCACGCGTGAAGATTTACAATGAGATTAGGCGCTATAAAGATAGGAAAAGCTCCAAAAAATCCAAGGTTGGATGCAGAAAAGAGGGAGAAAAAGAAGGTCGCTTGTGTCTATTAATGCAGCTCAAATACTGCCGGTTTTATGCTCTCTGCTTACATAACACGATAATTTCTCGTGTGATCAAAGAGAAGCTGTAGATAATATCCAGATGACAGTGTTTATTCAGAAGAGAGACTCCCAAAATAATCTCGCGCTTCATGAAGACGCTGTAATTGACAAGCGCCCCGCGAGCGCAGCTCTTGAGGGCAACACCCACTCAAGACGCGAGACCATCACTCCTCGGCTGTGTCATCAAACAGTGATTGTGCGGAGCTATTAGGGAATCGCGCGAAAATTGCTCCACATTAGCAGTTTTTCTTGGCGGAAGCGCACGAGAAAAGAGTGAATCAATTGCTGAGACATGGGTGCAAAAAATCCCCTATCAAGGTTCCCTGTTCTTGCTGTGGAAGTTTGCTCTCGCGTCGCATAACTGACAAACAACATACAAAAGGCGAGACTTTGTGAAACACTATCAGAAAAGTTTCTTGACTCATCGCCAGGGCGAATGAATTTCATGAAAAATGCCACCAACTCGAGATGGATAAAATATTTATTTTAGAACATTGGCAAGAAGTTCAAAAGTCATGAATTATAGATAATCAAAGGAAAAAAGGTGGAAAGTGTGAGTAGGGAAAGTTGGGCTCAAATCCAGAGCAAGAAATGTCTGTGTTCACAAAGTGTATTCGCTTTTTATATATGGATGAGAGATAAATAGTCACAATAATAGCGTTTTCCCCCAATATCATTGTTATTGGCGTTATTGCTAATGTAATTTTTTGAGGATACAATTTTATTCTTTTTTATTGTTCTGTCATAAAGCATGATTACCAGGTTGAGTTTTTTCCTATAAAAATCAATTTATTCGAGCTTTTATACTTGAAAAGCACGAACAAATTCTTTATTATTAAAAGATTATGATAGAAATTTTGGTAAAGATTGATATAATGAAAGCTCTTTGAAAGAATTTTTTCTCATTGAATTTTTTCATACGTCCCTTTTAAGTACTGAGTTTGTAAATTAAATTATTCGTGCTTTCAAACAGCACGAACTTCACAGCACAAAGACTTCCCGGATTTTCTGATTGCTTTTCCATCTCGTCGAAAATTAAGTGGGAATGAGACCAAAAAATTCAATATGAGTTTTTGTCAAATGCAAGGGAAAAGTTGTAAAAAATTGAGATTCTGAATGAACTTTATGAAAGTAATTTAATTCATTACAATGTTTACACTAATCTATTTCAGTCATTTTTAATTATGTATGCTGAAATATTACTTCTTGTGAGTTCAATTGTTTACTGCTTTGATGTGTTTAGCGTCAGATTGGAAAATGAGAGAGATTTGTGGGAAAAAATCGACCATCAAGAGGAGCTAGAATTAAGCATTAATTCAGTGCGAAAAAAAAATCCAAATTGCAAGATAACAAATGTTGCTTCACAGCTCTCAATAACTCTTTCTGGCCGGCGTGAACGGACAATGGTTGGCAAATTCGGTTCAGCTGGTTAAACATGTGCGAAACATCTTTGGGAGACACGCTGAATAAATCATGCTGGGCATAATGAGATAGTTGATTGATGACATTGAATATCACGCGAGTGCGTGGCAGAAATAGCTCGAGCGCCACCCTTGGACTCGGTGAAAAATTGACCAGGCCCAGCAAGAGCATCTGGCGAGGGTGGAGACCAGTGATAACGATAGATATAAATAGATGATTGCCGTGGAATTGCGAAATTCGCACGGACTTACACAATTGACAGTGTTTCCAGCGCTCTTGCGAAGGCATTTTATCCCCGAGTGATCGCTATCGCTTGTAGATTTATGCTCCACCTTTTCGAAGATGGTTAATTGGGGTGCGATAAGAGCTTTTATCTCTGGGACTTCACGCGTTCGCGCTTGAGTGACAGTGGGAGCGTAATTTTTATCGCCTTCAATCAGTCGTACAGCGTGGGCACTAATTATAGGTCCACTGCAGGTATCCGGGGGTAGGTAGTCTGGGGCAAAATCAAAAAATATCAAATATGGCGTTTGATTGCCTATCCATTGCCAAAACAAAACCCCCAATATGAGGCCCCTCCGCCGGATCCTAGGGATTCTAGGGAACTTTATCACTTTCTGGGCTGGCACTAATTATAGGTCCACTTGGGAATTTTCACTATATCTCAGCGAAAAAAAATCGGAAAATTCTGAAAATCATAAGGATCCTTCATTTTGAGCCCAGAGACCATTTACCGTCGCCACACCCCGCCTCGGTCCTCCGTGGACCCCACTGTTAAAGGTCTTTGCCTTGCATAACACGATATTCCAAAATGGCTCCTCCGCAATGGGGCGGGGGCCCAATGCCCATAAACTGCTTCATAGGGCAAGACTGAAGCCTTTTGAGCATAATTGGGCTATCTGACCCCAATACCAGCCTTGAATCCTGGCCTTAAGCACTTCTTCCAGGGTCTTTTTCTGCTTCTTCGGGCCCAAACCACCCCAACCCCCGGACCACCCCCAATGAAATGGGGCGAAAAGTTCTTGGGACACTTCTAGGAAACCCGAGGACCCTAGATCCGGGGATGGGTAGCGCCTCGGAGGGAGCGCCCTAACGTAGAACGAGAGCCAGTTGAAATTCAATGAAAAACCATACACTTTTAGGTGGTTTTCGAATGGGTCTCATTCCACGGTGTGGCGCTCCCTTCGAGGCGCTACCAGTCCCCGGATCTAGGGTCCTCGGGTTTCCTAGAAGTGTCCCAAGAACTTTTCGCCCCATTTCATTGGGGGTGGTCCGGGGGTTGGGGTGGTTTGGGCCCGAAGAAGCAGAAAAAGACCCTGGAAGAAGTGCTTAAGGCCAGGATTCAGAAAGGGTATCGGCGCCAGAAATCCCAATTATGGTCAAGAGGCTTCAATCAAGCCCTATGAAGGAGTTTGTGGCCATTGGGCCCCCCGCCCCAATGCGGAGGAGCCATATTGGGCGATCACGTAGTACTAGGCAAAGACTTTTAACAGTGCGGTCCACGGAGGACCGAGGCGGGGTGTGGCGACGGTAAATGGTCTCTGGGCTCAAAATGAAGGATCCTTATGATTTTCAGAATATTCCGATTTTTTTTCGCTAAGATATAGTGAAAATTCCCAAGTGGACCTATAATTAGTGCCAGCCCAGAAAGTGATAAAGTTCCCTAGAATCCCTAGGATCCGGCGGAGGGGCCTCATATTGGGGGTTTTGTTTTGGCAATGGATAGGCAATCAAACGCCATATTTGATATTTTTTGATTTTGCCCCAGACTACCTACCCCCGGATACCTGCAGTGGACCTATAATTAGTGCCCACGCTGTATTGGCGAATTCATGGATGATAGGAACGATTTGTTAGCACATGGTGAGTCAATCTTTCAGGCCTTTTGTATCGCCCAAAATTGCGCCCAAATAGTCGAAGTTCTGTGGCGTGAAATAAGCGATTTCTTTGAGTCGCTGCGCATTACAGCGGCAATAATAGATGTGTCAATAGTTGATTACACTGTATCTATTTAGTCGCTGACGATTTGGTAGACTTCCCTTCTCTATCGAGAAGCAGTTGCGAATGCGAGAGACGGAATCAATTAGATGGCAAACAAGAAATACAATTGTTATGCTACGATGCAAGTTCTAATGATCGTTCCAGCTGCATTTTATATCGTCTTATTGAGCTGTAATGTATTTGGCGCAAAACAATACAATATAGAGAGACAATGTAGCGACTGTTTGACACCGTTGAGTCATGGACCATTAACGATGGAGAGGAAAAGAGCGGTGTAGTCGAAACACAGTATAAAAAAAGGCATAAAATGTGATGGGGTTTTTTCTTCATCATCCAATTGAACCTCCACAAAAATAAACAAACACTACATAATTCAGTGTGAGGTACAATTTTGGCGTCGAATGTCTTGGTCAAGTTCATGCGCATAGAGAATTTGGTGGGATGATTCAGGAGTTCCTCCCCAAACCACTGGCATTATTTTGGGGAATTGTCATGAAATGTTCTCTTATTTTTTCTCTTTCTCTCTTCCTCTCCACATTGCTTCTCGCCTGCAGAATTTCGAGCCTGTGGCGTACCCAAAGAATGATTATGGCAAATTCTACGAGGGAGACTCGTACATTGTCCTGAATGTGAGTATTAGCATGAATTTTGCATAGTTTCAGGTCCAAAGGTGAAGGCGATTTTTCTATATTAGAAGAATTAGTTTTCCTCAGTCGTCCAGTAATTTTCCAGCAAGGGCTTTCCGGCCAAACAGAATGTACATGGCAAACAACTCTGGCTGAACTTCCCTTTTAAATGCTATCTGGCAATGTTAGTGGCATTCTTCTCTTGATGGCGGAAGAAGGCTAAAAGTAATTTCAGCAACTTTCTTGAATCTTCTGCACCATTAATTTTAAATGATTTTCAAGTTAAATCCTCCGCAATTTTCGTCACAATTTTCCACAGTATACTTTTTCCGCTGCTCCACCAAACTTTCCGCCACAATTTGAGAAAATATTTGCGCTACAGCGGACAAATTTACTTAATACTCATCACAATTTTTTCCCACGCGACCCTCAAAAATAGACTCGAAATTAGTTTATTGCATCTCGTTTGCAGGCAAAACTTTTGCTACTGAACATATTTTTTATGAACAAAACTCACGTGTTTTCTTTCCTCGGAGGAAAAACTGCAAATTAGCTGTCTCTGTGTCACAGCGTGCAAAATGTGGAGGTTTTTCCACCAGCATTTCTCAGAGTAAATAGAATTCATTGCAGTGTAATTTTTTTTTTCATAAATTCAATTTACCACAGCAATTTGCATATCAATTAACATTACTTAATCCACCCTCTGAACTTGCAATGTTGTCTTGTAAATGAACTATAAATTTCACGAGTCGCATTCCAAGCAAGTTCGCTCTTTAATTCCACAGAACTTTTGGGCTTTAATTCCCAAAACTCGTGAAATTGTTGAAGCGCACGTTCGAAATTTTACGACAACGATCCTTCGCCTCTCGTGTTGCTTGACATTTGCCACTTTTACTCCTGAAAAACCATTGAAAATTATTTTACGTCACTGACCTATATTTCCGCACTGGAGTAAATGGAAAATGGAAAATAAAGCGTATATGATATAAGAGGAGGAAATGCACCCAATTCTCGCATACAGCATTTTCCCCGATTCTTTTGTTAGTTTTCAATTTAATTGAAAACACATTTGATACAGCCATGTAACATTTCGTTATTGTTTTTTTCGCTGGAAATTTACTATTATTTTATTGTTAGATTTTGTTCAGCTTGAATGTAAAGCTAAATTATTAGTCAGTTGTTTGTTTTTCATTTGGAAATGCTTCATTTCTATTGTCAACACATGCAATTTTAAAGTGTTTCCCAAGCCACGCCCACTTCTACGCTCCGCCCACAAAGAAAGAAATCTTCTCTAGAAATTGTGACAAGCTTTGTAAATGGAATGAAGGAACAATTTTAACAAATTTCTTTCTTTGTGTATTTTAATTTTTTTTACTTTACTCGTCGGTTTCACGCATTGTTTAACATCTCTAGACCAAGGAGTCCAAGAGCAAGGAGTTGTCCTGGGACGTTCACTTCTGGCTCGGCCGGGAGACAACCGCAGACGAGGCTGGTGCAGCCGCGATCTTGACTGTTCAGCTGGACGATCAGCTCAACGGCGCTCCGATTCAGCACCGCGAGGTGCAGGATCACGAGTCGCAGACTTTCCTGGGCTACTTCAAGAACGGCGTGCGCTATCTGCCCGGCGGCGTGGCCAGCGGCTTCAGGGCCACGGAGACCAACGCGGCCGGCGAGAAGAGGCTGTTCCAGGTGAAGGGCAAGCGCAACATCCGCGTGCGCCAGGTGAACTTGTCCGTGTCGTCCATGAACAAGGGCGACTGCTTCATCCTGGACGCCGGTCGCGAGATCTTCGTGTATGTCGGCAAGAAGGCGAAGCGCGTGGAGAAGATTAAGGCGATCAGTGCGGCCAATCAGATCCGCGACCAGGATCACGCCGGACGCGCCAACGTCCAAATCATCGGTGAGTTACTGCAGATCATTTAATTAAAGGCGATTTAGTGGCGCACATAAATTCTGGGAAGAATTAGATAATTTGTTTCACATATTGCCTTCGTGATAATATTTCATTGGCTTAGAGTTTAATTATGATTTTATGGGTGGCGAATGTGCGAACAGTTGGCAATAATGGTGAATTTGGACAGAATATTGCATTCCCAGCATATGATAATGCCATGAAATTATGTGATGCCCGATGAAAATCTGCTAAATGAACATTTTCACAATGCACACTCGAGATTTTCTCCTATCGTTGTGTCTATTAAAAATATTAACAAATTAATTATTCATGAAAATTGATGGACCCTTGCGCCGCATTTTCTTTGGAGACGCTCTTGTGGGAATTTCATATGAATTTATGTGAATCGCTCACCGCATGTAGAACATGAGGAAGACAGTGCGGAAAAAATCGATTTGCTGTGGGGCACTTGAGATTTATCTTTATGTCTCACATTGATTTTCCCAGGGAAATTGCTTAATATCACTGATGTGTTTTCCCACCATGCCATGCACTTCTGCCCGTAAAGTGAAAACGATGAAAATTGGAAAGGAGCGCGCGTCTGAAGAAAGGGCGCCATTAGTGGCTGAAAAGAAAATTGCCAATGTTGTACTTCGTCTCACTCTCCATTAGACACAAACAATATAATTTAAATACAATTTTCACCCCAAATGATTTTACATGATTTATGCTCATTGATCATTGGAGCCTTGATTCTCACTTGATTGTCTGGAAATCATCTCTACACTCCAATTATAGTCATTTGGCGAGCGCTGTTCGCTGGTAATTGAATTTGGAAAATGCGAGCGTCTTGCACGAGAGGTGCGAAGCGATGATTAACAGTTTTATGGCTCAGTGTCTTGTACATTCGATGCCATTTTTTCTGCGGGATGGAGCCTATAAAAACCGACCATCTGAACCGACGTCGTCCCAAAAATAAAAATACTCATCTGTGCATGTTTATATGGGCGAATGTTTCTCGCATTGGGGATTTTTCTCGCGCCTCGCAAATAATTCATTAACGAAGCCAATAAGCGTCACGATCTCCGGCTTTCCGGTTCGCTGCCTTCTGCAGATACTCGATTTCCGCAATGCAAAACCCACACCCAAATTCTAGCTGCGGAAACTTCAATTCTACTTACGTTGTTCTTCACAAGCTATTATGCTAATGCTTCGCTACTTTATACCTTGTCTTCTCACAGAAACTTTTCATTATCACGATAAATTTCTGTTCTCCTCTTTTGTTTTTTCAACGCGGTTTGTGGTTAATTCTGCTGGAATAATATACTTTTCTTGGCTTCAATTTTGGAGAATCTGCAAAGATTTTCCTCGGTTTAAAAGAGAATTTTTTTTAAGTAGAAAAAATGGAGAATTACTTATTCATTTAATTTTCATACTGTTTGACGTAAATCCAATAAATTATGCTCATTAAACTTGCTTTCAAGTGTGTTTCTGCGAATTTTCTTGTGTCAAGCTGCAGAACAGAAGAAAATCCATGATTTTTCATCAAATAAACAAACTTTTGAATATGAAATTGAATTTTTTCTGGCATTCAACTTGATTTTTTGCAATTCGTTTTGCATGTGAATAAAAAAACAGAGAAGTGCAAAAGAAAAATGAAGAAATTTAAACTCTTTTATGTGATTTAATAAAGCTACTCAAGAGAATCTTCTGAGTTTACCTAATTTTTGTCTACAACTTTCATTTTCTAGAAAAATATCATAAAATCGATCATGAATATATGACTAAAAAAGGAGCAAATTATGAAATTCACCCAATATTCTCCAATTATTGATGAATTTTCTCTGCCAATTCCAGACGAATTCAGCTCTGAAGCCGATCAGCAGGAGTTCTTCCAGGTTCTGGGCTCAGGATCGCCCAGCGAAGTGCCCGATGAGTCTGCTGGTGAGGACGACGAGGCGTTCGAGAGACAGGAAGAGCGCAGTGTGACGCTGTACAAGGTTTCCGACGCCACCGGATCGCTCCAGGTCGATCCTGTGTCGCAGAAGCCGCTGAAGCAGGATTTCCTCAAGTCGGAGGACTGCTTCATCCTCGACACGGGCTCCGGCATCTTCGTGTGGGTCGGACGCGGAGCCACGCAGCAGGAGAAGAGCCAAGCCATCTCTCGCGCTCAGGGTAAATATTCATCTTGTGGAAGCTCTTCCGCATTATATATTGCCAGCTTAGCAGACGCTGTTCTTTCACTCACTTCAGCAGTGGATATTTATGAAGCAGTTTTGACGATAAATTTGGATAGAGACACTTTTATACTGTTGCGGAACAATTGTGCAGTATTTATAGTTTGGCTGGAGTTCATAAAAGTCTGTATTTATGTCTTTCACACTAATTGGGAAAGCAAAGAGACAAACATCGCGTTGATTATGTTAAAGTCCGCAAAAAGCTTCTGCTGCACACAATCCTCTAGTGTATTAAGCTCTTTTGACTCTAGCAATGATATAGAAATTAAAATAAAATGCAATTTCAAATGAATTTCTCGCGTCAAAGAGACATGATGTCTTTATGCTATGTGTACATGGCCAAAAGCATTCCGCGCGCGCGGGAAAAATCAATACACTCGCTATGCAAGAAAGAGGAATCTTTTGCACTTTTGAGATAACCATCTGCAAAAGATGCCCTCAAAGAAGATTTGTGCAAAAAATGTAAATTTCTGGCACGTTCCAGATTCAAAAACTCAGCCTGCAAACTTCTCGGCAGACGGAAATGCCATGGGTATTTTGTCGGAAAGTTTAGCTTCAATTTTCCCATTCATCGAATGCCAATTATCTCTCGGGCCAAGTGTTTCTCTGTACATTACATTGCAAGTGTGGGTGTATTTTCCACCCTCGACTATCGATAAAACTTTCCGCGACTCATTCAATTCGCCACCCTTTTGTCTTGATTAACTCAATTATCCACAAACTGCGCTTCGTGATTTTTTCGCCCGAATGAACGCTTTTTTGTCGCTCTCTGCAGGCTTTCTCACGTCGAAGAAGTATCCGTCGTGGACTCAGGTGCAGCGGATTGTGGAGAGTGCCGAAACGGCGCCCTTCAAGCAGTACTTCTCCACGTGGCGCGACCGCGGCATGACCCACTCGCGACTCATCCGCGCCGCCAACGACGACGACTCCGACACGGCCATTGACGATGAGTTCGACGCCAGCATTCTGCACAAGATGAAGAAGAGCGGCGGCCGCGCCATCGGCTTCATGCCGGACAATGGCGAAGGCTCCGTGGAGATCTGGCGCGTGGAAGACTTCGATCTGGTGCCGGTGGATCCGGAGCTGTACGGCATGTTCTTCGGCGGCGACTCGTACGTCATCAAGTATGAGTACCACAACAAGAGAGGCGGCCACGGCTACGTCATCTACTTCTGGCAGGGAAAGCACTCCAGCACGGATGAGAAGGCGGCGTCCGCCATTCACGCCGTGCGGCTGGACAATGAATTGGGCGGAGCCGTACAAGTGCGCGTCGTTCAAGGTAAAATTGACCTTTTGGCGACCATTACTAACTAATTTTCCCCAATTCCATTATGCACAGGATGTCCTAAAAATTGATGCTTTCCAATTACCATAGCTGCCAATTGGAACACATTTATCCAATTGATTTTATCCAAATGAAAAGCTCTCATGAAATCCAGTAAAAAGCTCATTTTTCACTTCAAATGTTCCAATTTATGGGCTCAATATGCGCAAAATTGAGTTTAATAAACAGATTTCAGTTGAAATCATTGAATATTGACTACGAATATCATAAATTTTTACCATAATAAAGTTTTAAAAAATGGGAAATAGCATTGATTTGAAAGAATCAATTTGTTTTGAATAAAACAGCACTAATTTAATGAAAAACATTCTGCTGCACAGCAAAAAGCACGAAAAACTCCACTTCTGTCGTTCAGTATAAAATTGGCCCGAGTATAAAATTGATATTAAATTCGCAGAGCACATTTGCAATTGGAGCTGAAAGTCATTCGGCAGTGGAGCTTTTTTCCTCCTACTATATGTGCATAGTATATTTTTGTTTAACTTTGCTCAGGATCTGCTCTTGCGAGAGCATTTAAAATTCCCTGTGAGAGTGCTGGGCCGGCATTTCGGGTGAAGGGAGAGCTATTGAGCAATTTATCATGTCTGCTTTCAGGTCACGAGCCGCGTCACTTCCTGAAAATCTTCAAGGGTAAGATGGTGGTATTTACGGGCGGCCGTGCGTCTGGCTTCAAGAACATCCACGACCACGACACGTATGACGTTGATGGGACCCGTCTCTTCCGCATCCGTGGCACCTGTCCCGAGGACGTGCGGGCGGATCAGCTCGAGGAGGTGGCGGCGTCGCTGGCCTCGGACGATGTCTTCATCCTGGAATCGCCCAAGGGGACGTTCGTGTGGCACGGCAAGGGCGGCTCGGACTTCGAGCGCTCCATGGCGGCGGACATCGTGGGCGTGCTGTCGCCGGATGCCGAGGCGCAGACAATCGCCGAGGGCGAGGAGCCAGAGGAGTTCTGGGCCGCCCTGGGCGGCGAGGGCGATTACGATCGCGAACTAGATCCGCCGGGAGCGCCGTTCCTGGAGCCGCGTCTCTTCCACTGCAAGATCCTGCTGAGTGGGCGCTTCAAGGTGGAGGAGGTGGCGCACTTCGAGCAGGACGACCTGGATCAGGATGACATCATGGTGCTCGACGGCGGGGACGAAGTGTACGTGTGGGAGGGCAACGGATCCACTGAGGAGGAGAAGGAGAAGGCAATGGACATGGCGAGAGTGAGTTTTGCACAACATTACTATGCACAAAGGCATTTTGTATGAGACAATAGCTTAGAATATCTCGAGATAAGGGGCGAATAACTGGCCTAAAACACCACATTAAATAGTAACAGCTGCAATTTTGAAATCTTTAGGTCAATTTCTCGAGCAATGAACAGCTTTAGTATAAATAACTCAAAAGCCAGAAAGCAATCATATCCTTGAGCAGCTTTTTGCTATGAATTATTAAATCATCATGAATTCCAAAGGATCTCGATTAGAAATGGGGCAAGACACAAATGGGCAAAACTGACTTGACTGCAATTTGCATAGTTTTAAATTGAAATAAACAGACCAAAGTTGAATTCAATAGAATTAAAGCACTTATTATTTGTGCTTTTCAGAGAAAGCACAAATAATTTGATAAAATTAAAATATGCTTTAACCTATAATTTTGTTCGACATGAAAGTGCAAAATTTTCCGATTTTTCTCTCACAACTCACTGCAAAAGACATTTATTCACCCCTTGTCTCGAGATCTATGAGCCAAAGATGGCAATCTAATGCGGACTGCAGCTGGGAAGATTTTATCTGGTAATTCAGCGAAGGTTGTTCATGAAAATTTGCCCAGTATTATGGAAATATCGCAGTCTTTTAATTCCCTGCGAGACATTATAATGCTTTGCATGGCAAATTTCCACACACAAAACTCCAAATGGAAATTAATGACCATTTACATGAGCATCCAGGATGATTCTGCTGAAAATGGAGCCAAATAAGCATCATAAAAAGATCCTTCTCTCGTCTCCTTTCGCCCCAAATTTGGCTTTTTAATGATTTCATAAATTTCACCCAAAACATCCCGAGACTCTTTAAACAATCATTTGGAGTCACTGAGTGAAATTCACTCTGTCTGTACATATCTAGAATTTGAGAGTGCTCTTCACTTTTCAACCCCACGAGACTCCTCTCGGGGTTGGAAATTGCAAGGCGAAAACTCTCCGGCGATTTGCTCTTTCGTGTGCACTCTTTTCACATGCTGTCCGACAATCCATTTCCACATGATAAAATTTGATTAATACTTTCACCCCCAGCAATTGAGAGATGATTGTTCTGTGCGAAAGACGGTATTATCCGGCAGTTATATATCACAACGACAATTCCACACATAAGTTTTGAAAACAAATTCATGAATTTCACCAACTTGGTCATTTTTTCTTGCTTTCTCGTCCTCGTCCTTTGCATATACTGAATCATTCGCTGTGGGTGAAAGTCTCTCTTGGGAAATCTTAGGAATTTTGTCAGGATACTTTATGAAGTGAATTGCAGGACTTTAGCCAAGTGATATATGGCTGATGTGCTTAAGCGCTGCGAAAGTGTGGAACAATGTGAAATATTTCTGTGTGAATTGTGTGATTCTGTCGCTGTGCAGCATCATTCTCGACTTTTTAATTAAATCCAGCTTGTGTGAATTGCCACTGAGTCGAATTAACACATTGTCATATGCAATATTAATGCGTGACAATTTTTACTGTCCTGATTTTTTTTCTCTTTTGTCATCAAGCAGGAAAATCAATGATGCAAGAGGGAGAAAAGGGATGGGGAAATTAGGAATTGGTGACATTCTTTAGAAATTCTGCAGAAAAGTCTCGCGACGACCTGACAAATGTTTGTTTTATTGCCATTTTACGGATCCACAGATATTCATCGTGAAAACTATTCATGATTCCACGGATAGACGTGGAATTGGTCATTGATTTAGCATGACTTGTGGAGAAATTGTGCTTCAGTAGTCAAATGAATCGCCACTTTTTTCAGGATATGATTTGAAATATTGCGTTTTTTGCGTTGATATTCACTTTCCTGCCGTAAAATCTCAACTTCCTCATAAGCTAGTAAACGCGCGTGCTTATCTGCGTCCTATTTTGCGAAATCATCGCGCAATTGAAAGCGCGCTAGAGGATGAGAGATAATTTTTCACAGATTGCACTTGAGTCAGGATAAATCCATGTGGCTATTAAATATGATGGGGAATATGAAATGGAAATAATTATGGAATGTCATTAAAAATTTACAGCACTGGCAGAATTTGTATGTTGCGCGCAACCCGATGGCATTTTACAGCCATTAAACATTCATTTATGAATTCGTTTGAGCATAATCATGTTGACTGTCCAGAATATTGCATTCAATCTTGATTTTTCCGCCGGACGACGGGAAACAATTTGCGGGGAAAATGCCGGCAATTCTTCTGCACAATTCAACATCGTGAAGTCTCACAATTTCTCTGCTTCAACCCACACTCACGTGATATGTGGCGGGCAATTTCACGAGGATGAAAATCGTCTCTAAAGTGATCGTGATAAATGGTAAAATATCATCTGAGGCGAATGAAATTAATCATGGGCAAGAGGAGAAGACAAGTTGCGAAGAATTTGGCGCAGTGGAAGAGGGAAAATTGAAGAAAAATGATGGAGACGCGAATGTTATGAAAAGTTGCTGTTGTGTCAGAAGTGGAAAAACCAAAATGCTCCGCACAACTTTCAACTCATTTTCACTTCTGAGCGGGGCGAGAAAATGAGCCTTTTCGCATCCTGATTTCATCGGGGAGTTCATGTTCGTGTGAAGCTGTTTCTGGTGTGGGATCAAAATGAGCCTCGCAATGAATTTTTCATACTATCTTTGGCAGTTTTTTTCCCTCCACCCAGTGCGAACTAAAAGAATTTAACGATAAAAAGCAGCGATGTATTAATATTAATAAGATGTAACGCGCGGCAGATTTTCTCATATTGATTTTCTCCTCTTGCAGCAATACATTCGCACTGATCCGACGGATCGCTCTGAGGAAACTGTGCCCATCATCAAGATTCACCAGGGCAAGGAGCCCAGGAGCTTCAAGCGCCTCTTCCCGGCCTGGGAGGATGACCTGTGGGAGGTTAGTGCCTGAAAACACTCGTGCTGCTTTCCACCCCCTTCTTAACGCATGGACAAAAGGCATCACTCGCTGTGTGTCTCTCCTTTTCGTCGCGGAAAGGAGGGAACAGCACAAGAAGAGTGTGTAATTAAGTTTTAGACACACATGACAAAACTTACAAATGAAAGGAGAGCGCCGAGAAGAAAGAAAACTGTATAGAAGATACACCCAATTTATCTCCTTGAAAATATACATAACCAGAGCTTTTCCTCCTAATCTCTATTTACATCCCTCCGCTGTTTTTGGCCACTCTTTCCTCTGCGACGCTCCTGCTTGTGTGTGTGGTGGCTGTTTTGCCTAGCTCTCGCCTCGACTAATCCTTTCTTTTAGCTTTAAATAATTGCAGATTTCGCCAGTAGAGTGTTAAAAATTGCACTCACACAGTTGTGCAGTATGTAGCCTAACTATCCACACATTTTTTACTTCCACCGTATTTTGTGAGTTATAGAGCTTAGACTAAAAAACACACCGTAGTGCCGTTTTGCTGAGCTTTACCCTCATTTCGTACACTGAATTTTGATTCTCTTTTTCAGAAAATACCCTCATACGCTGATGCGAAGAAGAATGCCATCGCCCTCAATAGTGTCTGAATTTTTCACACTCATTCCAGACACACCTTTTTTGCATCACACTCTATTCGATGTCCTTTTGTGTGTTGAGAATTAAAAGGACTTGCTTTTCATGTGCTAAAAATGCCTTTTTATCGACTCATTGGGAATGTGCAACGCCATCTTCTGGGTGGGAAATTTTCCCATCGCCTTTTCCAGCGCAGGAGCGATTTTCTATGTGACGCTGTGTCCAGGAAAAGCGGTGACGAATTTGCCGTTGCGATGCTTCCGGGAATATCCTTGTCACTATTTCTGGTATTTGAAATGGTTTGTATTTTATGGCAAATAACTGAAGAAGAACTTTGTATTGAGCAGAATGATTTATTTAAGCTTCTTTTGCATTCCCTTTGTGTGGACGAAGTTACATTTAATTAAAATTGATTGTTAAACTCTCTCACGATAGAGTTTTAGCCGATATGCACAATATTTTATCAAAAATTTATAGCCAAATTACTATTATTAGAGAATAACGTTTTTTAATGTGATTTTCTCATGATATAAAATTAGGTTTTTGAGTTAATAGTGTGATTATCACTAATTAAATAATTTGGTACATTTTCCAATTATCAGAAAAATTCTAGGTAAAATCTAAATGTGTTCACAGATTGCATCGATTTGAGTGCAGAATATTAAATGTCTTCCTAAGATTTTATTAATTCATACATTGTTTAAATCGGTGAATATAAAAGGTGTCAACGTGTTATTTTTGGTAGAAATTTAACAATAATAGACGTGAATATTTGTTTTTACTTTTTTAAGATTGTTACTTTAACCAATGAGTCTGTCACGATATAAATTTAGGGTTAATTTTATAGATTTGCTTTTATAAAATATTTTAGTTTGAACTTTTCTGAAATGTCGAAGCTTTTGCTCTTTTTCGACACTGTCAGTGTAATTGAGAAACTATTTGACGATATACAAAAGTAAATTGAGACTGTTCGAGTTCATCATCTACATATCGCACTTCCGCATCTCATGAGCGATTCTCCACGGGGCGCCAGAGGCCCAAAGCGGCCCCACGAAGGGTCCGTGTGATTAATAGGCATTTGACGAAGCGTGACACGAGACACAATCGCTCACGCGCGCGTTCGCCCGAATTATCCAATTGAGTGGGTAATTAACAAATTAACAGCGGGCGGATGAATGATGATAATTACCACCTTGTGAGTGTCCACTTTTGGTGGCGTGGCGAAGATGCTTTATCGCCTTCAATCTTTTGCGCTCGCACAGAGGGAATTTTTGACGCGAAACAATAATTCACTAGCATAATAATTACTGCATGAATACAATATTCATGCTCGGCGATATCAGGCGACTCACCTGCGGATGAAAAGGGGAATTTAATGTGAGGGTGGAAAACCACCCGCTGTCGCTCCGTTTTTTTGGGGAGGGTGATTTTAGAGTGAAGGCGAGAAAGAATAGTTTTTGGGAACATCGGTGAGGATTTGTGGGTATTTCGGGGAGGAATTTAAGTAGGAAGGCGATGCTCTCACGGGTAATTTTCCAGGGGGTTAATAAATCTCCTTTCGCCTCCACTTCAACTCGATTGACCTGATTCCCGGCGCCATTTCCCGCGCTGATAGTCAATTTACCTGTTCAAATATTTCTGTAGGGTGTTTTTACGCGCTGATTGAAATGATACAGTTTTTTTTTCTACCTCTGATGGATGTACAAAAATGTGTGTAACCCACTTAAAATATCGATGAAAAGCATCACGAGAGAGAGGTGAAAAAAGGCACCGGATATTGAGAAGCATAAAATTTAATTGCCAATAAAAGCCCGTTCAATTAAGTGCAATCTCTCAAGCTTTCATGTATCGATTTGAGAGAGAAAGAGTGAAAAGTGTGGTAAATATTTTATGAAAATGTTTTAGGCAATCGTTCTATTCGCCCCTGAATTTTTTGACCGTGTGGAGCGAACGAAAAGGGCTTATCGAAATCTCTTTGCCAAGAAGTGCCCAAGAGAAGCAAAGTGAGGGAAGGAGCGATAAAATTGAACTACTAATGAGGCAAGTTCCTCAGAAAGTGAGTACTTTTGAGCACGTTAGCAAAGAAAGTGCGCGACGCGAAGTTTTTTCTCGGTGCAGAAAAAGGCAACCTTTCAGTGCGCTCTGTGCATTGAATTGGCTCGCTGGGCGACCCTTAGCCGCCCTCCCCCAAGCCCCCCGCGAAGGTGCAACAATTTCAGTGGCCAGAAGAGAGCGCGTTATTCAATTTGAATAGCATGCAACGAGACCCACTTTTTCCACCATCAACACCCCCAACAAGACTGGAGTTGGTGGCCTTTTTATATTCGCTATGAAAAGTGCATGATTGTGTATTTTTGAAATTAATTACTCCTCAACATGAAACAATTTACTTTCCTGACCATTTATCGCCACCTCTGCCATGGTTTGGCGAATAAAAGAAAAATTAGAAGGGAAAAATACACAAACAATTACTCTCGTTGGATGGTCTGTTAGCACGTATTTATAAATGTGGGTGGGAAGTAAGACGTGAAAGAGGAATATTTTGCCCCTTTTTTCCACAGCACCAGAAAACACACCGTCGTCACCACATATTTTGTATTACAATTAAAGCAGAAAAAGTGCCCGCGGCAAGGTTAGGAAATGCTCCCCACTCGTGAGAATTACTAGGAAATTTCCTGAGGAAAATGTAAGTAAGTCATTCACGAGCACTCAATATGAATTGCGGTGAAATCTCAATTTTTAATTTGGCGCTGATTATTTGCATTCCTAAGGAAAATGCTCAAGTGGCATTATGTTGAGCCACTGATGTTGTTTCGGAAAACAGCTGCTTGAAAATTAAGTTATGAATATTTCATTGCTTTCTCTTGTCAAAATTCATTCACCATTCTCTGAATATTTGCTAATAATCGCAAAATAGACGTAAAAATCTGGGCGGAGAAAAAAAATATCAGCTAAACATGAATGAAGAATAAAATTTGACCGAAAGGCAAATTTAAATTGAATATTTCTATTCAATCGGATTTTGGTGTGTTATTTTATTGTGCTTAAAATATTGAATTTAAAAAAAATGATATTTATTTTTGCAGAATTATTGAAAAGAGAATATAAAATTTTAAAAATTGAAATAGAGGAAAACTTGCCAATTTTTAACATTTCATATCCAGATAATAAATCAAGCATGAGAATTGCTCCATAATTTAGAAAAGTAATAAAAGATAAGATATAAATTTTCAATTTGTTTGTAATTTATGTATGATGCCAAAAAATCATTTTTATTCAACGCCAAATCATGAATATAGAAAAACTGTTGATTTTATCAATTTTCAGGAAAATTAGCAAATCAAATGAATAAAGAGGGGTTTTCCACATCCGAAAAAGGTTATATTTTTACAGAATGTTAACTGTTTTTATATGAAGATGAACTAGATATTGTCATGTATTATTTTAACTTTTGCAGCTGTAATTCCTTTCGAGCAACGTATTAATTTATTAGTTCATGATATATTTAGAACACGTGGAATGAACATTATATAATTACACTCCGAAGTTATAGTTCTCCAATTCAACTAAATACATATGACTGACGTGCTGAAACTCATAAATTAACAATATATTTAAATATTTGACGAGCATTTAAGCGTACATTGCCTTGTCTGTAAAACATAGAAACTATCATAAGTGATTTTTCTAAATCAATTCAATCGAAATCCACACAAAAGCCACTCGAGCAGAAATGCAGGTTCTTCGGGTGAAATTAGGTTTGAGGACTATCACAGTTGGGAAACTTTAATGTTTGTCAAGAAGAGAGTTTGCATAATGCTCATGCTGTGCAATCAAATGCGGACGAAATCGCTCCTCAATGGGTACTTTTGGGTGATTGTTTAGCAATTCCTGCACAGTGTTTACAAGGTGTTTAACCCATTTATGCGATGAGCTTTGGACGGATTACAAGCGTCTTGTAATCCCTCTGCTCTATTTATCATTCTTCGGGCGAGTGTCTCTCGCAGCAAAATTCAAAGTCACTCTGCCTCGGCTTCTGCCTTCGCAGCTACTGGCAGTGCGAGTGGTTTGTGGCGCTGCCGGCGCTTCTCCTACTTTCCCCTGGCGCCCCCTTCCACGTGCGAAGGGGCCGCAGGGGCAGCGTTCCTCCTGACGCCGTCGCCGTGACTCGGGCGGAGTCGTGGCGTGGCCGTGGCGGAATGGTGTGAGTGAGGGTTGCTGGGCGCTTCGGTGGCAGCATTTTGTATTGCCAGCCTCTAACGCCATTCACAGAATCAACGAGTGGTTTGCCTGCCACTCAATTCACTCTTGCCCGTCAGTTGGTTGGTCTTCCTCGGACGACTCACACGCTTGAGGCCGGATCCTCGTCAATCGCGCACGTTTCACGCCACTTTACGCGGCATTCCGTACACATCTTACTCAACATTCTCGTGTGACTCTTCCAAAGAGGTGTTCAGTGAGTGGGAAAGACGTCATCGCGAGGATCTTCGGAGAGCACGCAGCACTTCCTGGAAGGCGCATTTTGGGGATTTCATCTCGAATCCGGGTTAGTTTTTTGATTAGAAGTAATGCCTTTGCGAAATTCCTTGCGCTGGGGTGAAATTGTTCAGTATATATTTTTAATTAATTAAAAAGGATGCCGCAGAACGAAGGTTCATTTAATTTACCATGAAAGCTCTCCTTTTTTTGCCCACCTCTCGCACGCCGTGTCCTTTTTCATCCCATAAGCATATTGATTCCTTTTATCTGTGAGACGTTCTCTGGTCCTGAGAGGTCACAGGACGGGAGATGGAAAAAAAAACAGTCGTCGGGGTGGGTGGAATCTTTCCACCCCCGGTGTCTTCTGGCCCTCCTCATCGTCTTACCTTCATTTTGGATTATGAGATTTGCCTGCCAAGGACCAGGCAATATCCCTTCTCCTCTGCAATGGAGGAATGTTTGGCTTTCTCATCAGGCGATGCACAAGAGAAAATATCCTATTTTATACCGGGGGCGTCACATTGTTGTCCAAAAGCTTCCGGGGATGAAAATTCCTTGTGGGTCAGCACATACTGCTGACCATGTGTGGTGATGGAGAAATCCTCATAATCAGAGGATAAATAGCATGAAAACTATTGAGGAATATTTCCCACTATTTATGGTATTGTCGCATCCGAGAGGAAGAAAAGGGGTTTCCACAGGAGGGGAGCGGAGCTTAGGGACTCTCTTCTTGGCGAAAATCCCGAGCACACTAGCAACAGGTTGAGGATTTTCAATTTTCACCAAGGCTCGCTGCCGACAAATATAAATTACCACTTTTTTCCTCTTCATTTTCACCAAGGCGATCTCCTGGCTGAAGTCATACAGCCCCATTTTTTTCTATGCCAAAAACCCCCCCGAAGAGAAGCCACATCAGCAAAACAATGACACAGCATTTTGACGACAATGCTCAGCGCCCAAGAAAACTCAACCCTCTCGCGGGAATGGCGCTTAATTGCACTCGCGGGGGTGAAATTTATCCCAGATAGAGAGAGAGAGAGAGTGGAAAGTTTTCAATTAAATTCCGAGTGAACTTCCAATCGGGGGTGAATTGCAATTAAAACAACCCTCAATTTCGTGTTAAAATCAAATTTACACTCACCGCTAAACTTTAAATCTCGCCCGGTAAATAAATTTCGGGCTCTGGATTTATATTGTGCTTTGACAAATGGACACCGCGACCGGTGATTTGAGGCTTAGCGACACGCGAGAATGTGCCCATAAATTCATGAGAAAATTTGCGGTCTGTGTGGCCTTTTGATGTCTCTTTTTACCACCCACGCAGTCGCGGTAATTCGAGGAAATGCGCCTAATTTGAGAACGCTTTACATTCCCAACTTAAAAGCGTATCTCTTGCCATGCAATTTCGAGACCTGTTCGGTTGATTTAACAAATTTTTAAAATCTACTCAAGTCAAGTGAAGCAATTAACCCTATTCAGCCCTGGAAAAATATCATAGCGTTTGAGACGCTTGAATTAGAGTGTCGATTTAAAAGTTAACCTAACTTCCGTTCTAATTGTTCGATTTTCACAATCTGTGACGCATTGGAAAGCTCTTGGAAAATTTAATGCAATAAATGTTGGAAGCTCACGTGGCTGTTTAATTGTTAAATATATATTTACTTAGCCAGATCAAATACATCAATTTGATGAGTTCAACGTTAAAATCGAGTTATTCCAGCTTAGCAAAGAGAATGAAAATTTAATAAATCCTCATAATCCCCGATTCTGATTCCACAACGATGGTTCAAAACGTTCACGCGCAATTTCCTCTGGGTCCGAAGAGGGTTAATGAGTTTATTGACACATGAGCTCGGTTGCGGGGTCGCAAAGTGTCCTTGGAAAAGTATCCCCACGAGGTGTGGTCGAGTTTCACATCCCCATTATTGATGGTGCACCCATAAAGTGTGAGTTAATAAATTTAATCGCCCTCCCTCGGATCCCAAGAATGATTATTAATAATTTTTTCTTAGCCCAGCGACTTTCCCCCATTCTTTCCGTGAGCGCCCAAAACAGCAGACCATTAATGTCAAGTCAGGCTCTAATAAATAATTTCATGATGATGACAAATTAATTGAAAGTCATATCCCATGGCTCGGACAATTTTCCTCCAGCTGCTGTCCAATTAAATTTAATTAGCATGCGAGGGATGAGAGTGACCGGCGAGAGACATTGTTCGCGCCAAATTGGCCAAATGAAGATGTTGCAAATTCTTGCCATCCTCAGATTGTCCTTCAACCCGAAGAGCCTCGGTTCAATGGCTGTTCGTGAATCATCCTTAAGAGATTTCTCCTGTTGACCCCACAAGCGGCAGAAGAATAACTCACGGCTGTTGATAGAGGAACAAAAGCCACCCTTTTTCCGCTGCTATTTCCTATTCCGCCCACAGCCCACGGAGGAATTATCGCCCGGACAAAAAAGCCCCATAGAGCTCACATCCATTTCAAGATTATAATCCTTTCCTCGCAAGGATATCTTTTCACACTCACTCTCGCCTTGTGTTTGTGCTCCAATGGAAAAATAACACTGCGGATGTGAGCTCTTCACCTCCTCAGCTTCCCTTTTTGTGGGTCAATCCCTCGCCCCGTGAAAGACGACGCCGCAGCTCATCAAAATCGTTTCCCGGGAAAAATTCTACAGCATTTCTCTGCCATTTTGGCAGAGAAAAAACGAACAATTTTTACGGGAATTTTTATTTCCACTAAAATTGGACACCTTCCTGGCATTTTCTTCTGCAAGGAATGCGGACGTTGAGCTCCAACTGGAGCACTTTGCAGTGGATGTTGATGGAGTGCTGCGAAGTCGAGCACCGAACTCTGGCTTTGCTGCCAAAATGGGTTGCTTTCACAAGCATGAATTTACAAAAATTAGGCCATATTTCTGACATGAAATCTGGAAAAATGAGAAATGCACATGGAATCAAACCAAATGCTTTTTTGCTAGCATTAAAAAATTGAATCATGCAGAAATTGTGCATATGCTAGAGATCCTAAAAAAATACGTTTTTACTATTAAATAAGCTGTCAATGGAGATAAATCTGAAATATAATTATTTTGAATTATTTACTAGCATTTTGACGAGCTTTGTCATCAATAAACCATGCTTTTATCAAAATTGACATTGCATTTCAATGCATGATTGTAAAACCTGACGTTGCGAATGTGCGGATAAAGTCACTCCTAAGCAAAATTAGCATCGACAAAGGCAGGCAACAAAGCGAATCATACCTTGTGCATGCAATTGAGGCCGCAAATTGAGTGGGTTCGGGAAGCACGTGCCAGTCACAGGGAGTCCAAGTATGGCGTGCAACTGACAGAAATTGTCGGATATGGTTGACGTAATTTGCCCATTAAATTGAATTAAATTCAGGAGTTCTTCATCCTCGCAATCATCACTCCCGAACTCGCAGTTCGGAATCCAAACAACCCTTTTTTCCACCGAGCGAGCGGGTGAAAAAAGCACCCCATCTGCGGTGGAGGAAATGAAAATAGCCTTTTGCCGGGACTTTATCCTCGAATCTGGAGTGTGTGTGTGCGGCCGGGAGTGAAAAAAGTGTTGTTTGGAGAGAAAGTGGACGAGAGAGGAAAAAGATTTCGTCCTCAAATGTGTTTGGCAATGTGTTTATCTCGGTGAGCGGAGGAAAATGTGGAAAGAAAAACCACATAATTCACCCATGTTGCTAGACAGTGACACATTTTTAAAGCGATGGCAAGCGTCTGTCACGGCAGCTTAATAAAACCACATTTTGTTTGTGACGGAAAACTAGAATTCGGACTTGATAGGAGCAATTAAAAGATTTTCAATCTCACTGGCGGAAAATAAATTTGTGACACAGAGAAGATGAAACATTCAGAAAATCTCAATTATAAATGGTAATTATACTTTCACGGGTAGAATTTGGTGAAAAAAAGGTAAAAAGCACTTCCATTAGTCAATTTGAAGATTTTACTTTTTGGATGTCACGGAATTTCTGTGAATTTCCCCAGAAGAATGCTCATCTTTGATGGGGCACATGAATAATTTAGGTGCGATATGCCACTAGCTTTTAGCATGAGTGCCGGCATTTCCTCCTCTTTTCCGGGATGAAGCCTTTCTTGGGTTATTTCATCTCGACTGGAGAGAGGAAGAAGTAAAAAAAAGAATATCAGAATCGGGTGCGGAGTACAAACATGGGCAGGAAGATGAATAAAAGGACATTTATCTGGGTGAGAAAACACTCTCGCGGGCGGGGGAGCGACCGGATGACGAGGGAAAGGATTTAATTGACCTTAACCCTCGGCTAAAAAAGCAACATCGAGAGAAGGAAAATTCTTTCCTTCCGCTCTGATTGTGCCAACTTAAGTGCGCCGATATGGCAAAACCATTTGCAATCTCAACCCCAAAACCACCCCCGCTTCTGCCGCCCGATGGACTATTTGCCCATCGTTTCAACCTGTTGATGGGCACAGTCGATGATGGACTACAAACATACTCGGTTTAGAATGAAAGCGGTCTCAGCATTTTCACCCCAAGTGCAGTCCAATGGCCGGAGGTTCGGCTGTTCGGGCAAATCAATGAATTTCATCTGTTCCAAACTCTCCGTTCCACTTCAGGAAATTTCAATTAAAGCAAATATTTGTCCCAAAACTATACATGCTCACGTATGATGAGCCTTTGGATGCTCAGAGACAAAGAAAAGGGCGAATTTTGGTGAACTGCAAAGGGTAAATGGTCACATTGATCTGCTATCGTCTGCCATTGGCCGGAAAAATAAGTTCAAATAGCAATCAAATGTGAAATAGACAGAAAATCTAGTCTAGCTAAGAATTGCAATAAATAAAAAGCAGTAAATATCGATAATATGTGGCAGAAATATATTTTTACGATGGCTAATTTGACGAAATAATTTCTCCCAAATTTCAATATCGAATTGAGTGAATAGTTAGCAGCTCTTCACCCCTTGAATAGGAATGTCTGTTGCTGATGAAGAGTCCAAAGGCTCTCTCCTTCTCCAGAGAGTGATTAGTTTTATATACAAGCATGGAAGA